ACTCTTCATATTCGACACCTCAGACGACGGAGATACGTAAAATACCAGCTAAATTAGTTGAAATGAAATTGATCATTATATCAATATTTACAATCAATAAAAACCCTTTTCTTTACTATAATGGCATATTTTTCTGTCAAACGTGGGGTAATAAGCACACATGTTAAAACTGAACTGTCCTATTTATCGCTAGAATTGTGGATTCACAGGTTAAATCGCCAGGCGAGGGGTAGCATCAAGCAGATAGATAGGGTATCGTATCGATCGTGTCGGGACAAAAGGCGTGTGCGCTGGAGGACAGGAAGAAGAAATGCATAGATCGTGTCATAATATCAACTCAGTCACATCATAGTTGGATCAGGCATCCTTGGGAGGATCCCTCTGTCGAGAACGGGGGCGACCTGACCCAGCAGACCTAGTAATTTGAATTAGTATGTGAAATGAACTGGTCACAAAAGCTGTTAAGTGAACACTTACATGCTGATCCGTCGAGCAACCGTGGCGAGTCCAGCATCGTTGGCAGCCTCATGCTCAGCCCGCTCCAGGGCCACACGACGACTCTCCTCGCTCTTTGCGAGAACTTCTTCGTGGCTAGGGGGCACGTGCTCGTTCTGGATATCAACCTTACGGGCATCCTCGAAGTTGTGAATAGCCTGTTTGATACCTTCCGCACCCAGCATGAGGGTTCCGGCAGGAAGACGACCGCCAGCCGCCGTCTTCAGCTCAGTGACACTCTCAGATTGCTCACGAAGAACCTGGAAGACACGAGAGAGGCGGCCAATGGCAAGAATTTTGTTTTTGATAGCACGTCGTTTGAACTCGCTGGATTCGGGGTCCATCGACGGAGGCGAGATTGGATCTCTATCCTTGTTTTCAGTGGGAGACACAGGTGTGGGGGCTTCGTCCTCCAATTCTTCCTTTGAGCAGGTATTGAGAATAGCGATGAGCATATCCGTGATTTTTTCACCGACGAACGGCAAAGACCAAGTGAAAACATCCATAAAGTTAGGCAGCCAATATGGGTGGGGGGTGCAGTTAAACTGGCGGATATTCATCACATTGTTCTCATATTTGAGGACAGCGGCCTTGTTGTTGTAAACATCCAGGTAGTTAGGCGCACTAAAAATAGTCATAACACTCGGGAAGCCGGTGGTTCGCGTCTTTCTGTACATGCGATATCCGGCATCCTGAGCCTCATGTGCTCTGATGATAGAGAGCAAATTGTTTTTCTCTAAAAACGCGCATGCCGCAGGATAAGAGAAAAAGTAGGAGCAACCTCGGACACTGTTATGAATGAAGAAATCGCCTGTCTTTTCTTGACCGAATTCCTCCAGAGGGTCAGCCCAAAGGATGTCGCACATAAGCCCGTGGGTTGGGGGTTCGCGGAAGCGATCAATCTATGTTTGTAAGCTTTTTGCTAATGCCATAAAATGTGGGTAGGGCAGATACATACAGCCTTGATGTCTTCGAGGGTATGCAGCTCGGGGCTGAGACCACCGTGAATGCAGAGGAACTGTTTGTTCATAACTGCCGCCAGCGGCAGCGCACAGAAAGATTCCAGGCACGCCTCATAGATCCGTTCGCTATATTTGTGCTTGCACTCCAACTTGAAGGTGAAGTAGTCCGTCAAGTGGCGGCATTCGTGATTACCCCGCAGCAACCAAAGTGAATCGGGATACCAGATTTTCAATGCCCAGAGATAGAGGACGCACTACGGAGACAAATGGTCAGGGTAGTTCTTCTTGATTTAAGGAGATTCGGATGACCTACCTCAATACTGAAATAACCACGGTCCACATAGTCACCCAAAAACAGATACCTCGTTTCTGAAGGGTCACCGCCGACCTCGAACAGCTTCATCAAATCGTAGTACTGGCCGTGAACATCGCCACACACTGTAATGGGCGCATCCATTTCGAGCAAATTTGGCTCAGCCTTCAAAACCTGTGTACCAGCGTGGATGATCCATAGCGCCTGTTCTTCTGAAAGACGACCTTCACGGTAGAGGTGTTGCTTGAGGTACTGAAGATTGGGCTTGGAGGGATCCTCAGGCGACCAAAACATATCATCCGGAGGATAGCTGAGAGCGGGCGCTTGCACCTCTAAGACCACGAAATACCATTAGCGATCAGGTTACCACATAGTGCGAAAGCGACCGAGACCACTGCGGCATTACCTTTGACCACCCTCTCCATTGTCGACACCTGCGTGTTGTCCTCCATCGTGTGCAATGTGAAATCGATCTCCGGGACCGGCTGCTTGTCGGTCACGGCGCGCGCTATAGCCCGATCCATTTTGGCGGAAACTGAAATGTGGTTCGAATTTTGAGTTCGGAGTAAGGGGCGAGGGATGGGGGAGAGAATCGCGGAGGTGTGGCGGGGGTGAGTTTCTGCGCGGGCGGGATAGAACTCCCACGACGAAGAAGAGTATAAAATTGATAGAACTCTGATCAAGTCAAAGTTCTACAAGGGAAAGAAGAAAAACAGAGCCCAGGGGGTTAAAATAGGTGCTGGGAATTGTGTGTTTTGGGGGAGGGGGGAAATGTGAAGTTGGGAAAAAGAGAAACAAATTGGATAAGCGGCTTCTGGGCCGTCCTAAGATCGGTGGGTCTCACACCAACCTCGATCGTAACTGTATCGGAGATTTTTCTTATTTGATTTTCCTGTATGGGGGTAAAGTGATTGGTATCGGGATGATGCGAGAGAGACAAGAATTAGATCAAGTTCAGCCTCATGTCAACATGATGACTTGGTGCCTAAGGCAACAGGGGTCCCTTTTTTTACCCCACGCTATCAGATTCACTCGATCTCTAATTTTGATTACTTCTACATTTTCATCTAGACAGTGTGAACATTTACTGTTAATATCAATGTATGGTTCAGTTTTGCCTCCAGCTTTGACTTTTCATCTGATGCTGCGTTTAGCGTTTATGGCGCCTAGTCCCGATCTGCCTAGACCGCTAGACTTGAGGTATGCAGTAACAATGATTTGCATAGGAGATTCCTTCATACCTGCAGCTATTGGTCTTGAATATTCTTCACTCGATGTGGAATTTTATGAAAACGATATTTTCATATGATATGATGAATGTACAGAGGTAGTACCCAACAAACTTGGTGACAATTGCAGCTCAGACCTGCTGAAATACTATAAATCCTTCAACAATGCTCTCCTGGTTGATATGTTATATGCTCTCCATCACATGACATCTAGAGGCCCGAAGAAAACCAACCACTGGCTTTATTTTCTCTAGAGTCCAACAGCACTCAAGCATCAAGAAATAAGTACTCTCGGAGCATATATTGACACCATCAACCCTAAAGGATGGTTGGAAGTTTCACTGAGAATGTAGCGGGAATAGGGCCAGTTCTATGGCCCAGAAAAGTAAATGCATAGGACGCACGATAGCAGAGTATGTCAGCGCCGTCAATTATCGCAATCGATGGAAGGTTAGTTAAATTTCAAAAGCTGTCACCACTCTAGCTATTTCTGCATTTTGAGATTTCCACGCTAAACTTGAGGTGCATAATCAGTTTATCTTACTTTATCGTCTCGGCCTGCCTTCAATTAAATGAGGGTTAACTGCAGGGGGCCATTGTGGCTGGTGGCTGGATGTAGACCTCTCAATAGCCCATAAATGGGCCCAAGCCCCCAGCCCATAGCCCAACCCGCAGTAGGCCATGGGCCTAGTCTTTAAAGCCCAGCCCAAACCACAGCCCATTGATAGGCGCCCACCAATGCCCATCAAAAGCCCATTTCTGTGCACAAATACAGACTTGGCACACGTAAAGTAGCTGATTAATGGCTATATTTTACGCATATACCAACCTATATATTGAGTATCATCATATTACTATAGTAAGAAGTAAGAATTAAGTAGATATTGAAATTGATAAGATCAGTGATACTAAAGAATAGGGTGATCTATCTAGGGATTTGATAGATATAGGTGGCGACGGTCTTGATATAGGTAGATGTTTTGACAATAGAGATGATGACGATACTACTACGGGACTACAATTACCGAGTATTTATACTCAGCTACGTACATTAGGGAGGAAGAGAATACGAAAGGAAGATGATATGTTTCAGTATACTTAGTATATAAATTATCTATTAACTATTTCATATCTTATCAATCACATCACTTAGTCCTATGAGTTAATTTATAAGCTTAGAATAAGGTTTCTAAATAGCTTTATATATCGCTCCGACGGTAATTTGAATACCCTAGAAAACCAGAGAAAAAAATGTGTTAATTATATGCCTACAATAAACTGGCATGTTTGTATTGTTTGGGGCCCATTATGGGCCTGAATGGGCCCTGCGGGCTTTCATTCCGGGCCCACTGCCTACCAATGGGCATAAAGATAGGGACAGCCCATTTGGTGGGTTAGGCTGGGTTGGGATGGGCTTTGTGGGCTATTGAGAGGTCTAGCTCGATGTATATGCCCGGGACAATTTTCATTCTTTATCATAGTTCTTCACATAGTATATCGAGGGTTAAAAAATAACCCATATTAGAAAGAACAGCAACCTAAAGTCGACAGACCTAGATAAAATAACACCCATCATTTAAGTAATGATATATACCAGGCCCCCTATCCCCTCAGCTTCCACAGCATCCCTCCTAATCACCCACCCAGCGTAGCCTTCATCCGCCGACTCCATTCATCCCGCTTGATACACAAAAGGATCAATAGGATGCTAGTGAGAAGACAGAATAAACAAGCCGCCGCGAACGACCAACCAGTCCCAATAGCATCGAATAAAGGCTGAGTAATGACTGCACTTAGATACGATAGACTATTTCATATGAGGTTATTCACCGCGACGCCGATGATGGAGTTCTTCGGTATAAATTCCGTTAGTATAGTTATGGTAACGTTGGTAAGAATCATTCCGCCAAACCCGTAGAAGAAGTTTCTAGGGAGCTATTACACAGTAGATTAGTCCCCGCTTAAAGTCGGAAGGAAGATGGGAGCGATAGAATAAATAAACTAACCGCGACTAGCTAGAACTTATTATTTATCAGCCGTCTACCCCCGCTATAAGAGTGGGCCTAGAAAAAGAATACCCGAGATAGTTCTCACCAAGACGATCGACGGGGTAGAGGATTAACTCCCCCTTATCATCGTATTGGCCTACCTTTCGAGCGGTCTGCATCATGGTGTAGTCCTGCCGGCGGCTGCCAACAATTGCACCAAAGAGTAGGCTAAGGCCGCCGGGGACATAGGCCATACCGACAATGATGGAGCTCCAGGAACATGGTGGCGGTGAGTGCCCCGCCGATGATGGGGGCAAACATGGGCCCTAGCATAGGACCAACCATGAATGCGTACATGGACTTACCACGATATTGCTTTTTAAACATGTCGGATATGGGACCGGTACTGACAGCTTGAAGGGATGTACTGGAGGTATTCCTAAGGACTCGTATGGCGATAAATATGCCGATGTTAGGACTAACAGCAGCTAGAATGTTGAAAGTCCTAAGGAAGAAAGAACGAGATATAAACAAGTTTGTGACCGTAGAGATCGGCTATGTATAATCACCACGACTGCGTGATAGCGATAGAAAGTGAGCTAAAAGCGATAGGCAAATTCACCGCCGACACGGTGGTTATATCCCCGGCGACCTCTATCAGGCAGGCTGTTTGTTGGAATCCAGAGAAATTATCTGCGAACGTATTCTGAGCCACGAGGATCAATTTCTTGCTTGGATCCGAGTTCTGCCCTGGTATTGTCTTGGGTGAGTTCCATGGGCGAGGCTGTTCGCTCGTACTCTGGGGTTGTTTCTGTTTCTATGATTCTCGGAGATTGCATCTTGTTCAATGCTGCTGGAGAGTTGGGTTTGGGAGAGTTGGGTTTTGGATGGGGGGGAAGGAGGGGGGTACTGTTTCGATGATTGAAGGATATGTTGGTTGTCGAAGCTATACAGTCCCTTTTTATACATGAGTATATCATCAACAAATCTACGGGTGTACTGTGTACTGACGAACCCGTCTCCATGACGAGGCTGCTTTATCTTGTGAAGATAACCTGTGGTTCTAAGTCCTCAGCTGAAAAAAAAGGGTCGGGCGTACTGGGGTTAGTTGTACACAACAACAATCTTATGTCACAATAGTCTTAGCCGCAACTAGGTAAACCTGCGTTCTTCTGTTTTTTCTCCTTAAATTGTCATCATTGATTGTGGTATAGTACAGTTCCCCGAGACCAGTGTCACCACCAATGCTCGTCAATGATTTCCTGGACCCTCCTACAAATGAACTGTATGGGAATGTTCCGTTAGTTTACTGATACGGTACTCCACGCCAACTGAGTATGTTAGCTTAAATTTCAATACTGTATGGAGTAGCTAGAATTTTCCACAAGAGGTCGCACGGTAGGTAGTGAGTTCTACGAGCTGAAATCCACATCACCGGGTATAGAGGCCATTTCCCAGAAGAGATGATCATCCAGCAGATTAGACAGACTTTGCATATGCAAATTCTGTCTAAAATCACCAGCAGCAGTCAAGGTGGCATCGTTTTGCGTCACATTATAGCTGCGCATGATCATCCCCTCGGCCAACTCAGGTGGTTGCGACGATGAATCATTAAATTCCAATTCAGCTGCGCCCACAGATGCGTTCGCCATGTCGAAGGCTGGTTCCACTTGAAGTTCTTGTTGGTCGGTTGAGTTCAAAAGCTCTACCAGCGATTCCAGGTATGCGGAATGTAGGGCGACTGTATCTTGTGGTGATTGTATAGCCTGCCCTATGTGCTGGGCAATATCACGAATGAGATCGACTGCGGTCTTCTGGAATGCTTCACCAATGACACCATTTCCTGGGAGACAAAGAAGCAAGCATAAGAATAGTGCTGCGTTTGGGCCGAGTAAAAGAACGGCATCAGGAGCTAGTCTTAGGTCGGCTAGCGGAAAGTTCATCAAATGGCGCAAGGTCCCAAAAGCACCTTCCACACTACTCGTCAATCCTGGCAGATTCTGTAACCATACTTCTTGTGTGGTTGATAGGTCAAGTTCCATTGTGGAACTGGTTGATGGGTTATTTAGATCCACGGATGGGGACAGAGAAGCCATCAAAGCTTGGCGGAATATGGAAGAAGCCACATTGAGTCTGACACCACTCTCCCATACGTTGATCAGAGTAGTGAGATGATGGCTACCGGGAAATAAAAATTCATGCTTGAGGTTTGGGTTATCCTCTGGCTGCTGACGTCCTTCGCCTTCAAGTTGATGGTGCCATTTGAATCTCCAAGATCTCAAGTCTGCATCCATGAGCTCCACCAGACACGGGAGCATATCTAGCGATTTCCTTTGAACCAAGTGACGCAATTTATATTGTATACAGCGTAGATCGGCACTGCAACAGGCGGCAAAATCAAGCGGCAAAGCATATGGCATTCTGAGCCAGACATTAAGGTTGCCAAGAGGAGGTGTTTCTTGATCGCCCTGGTTCAGCGAAGCTCTCCGCAGAAAAAAGAGGCTCTGCTGCCTGTTCTGCCGAAATAACGCAAGCCACGTTCTTTTTCGCCTCGCCACTTGACGCCCGTCAATATCACCTTGTTCCAAGTCCAGGTCATGAAGGATGCGAAAGGCGTAACCGCTGTGGAGATACGAGACATCATCATCTGCATCCTTCCAGCAGACTAGCAGATAGAAAGCTTGCAATGTCTCGATGGATCTGCTGCCCTCAGCAATGGCTTTAATCGCCAAATTCCGTGCTAAGCTACAAAGTCGGCTTTGCAGAAATAGATCAGGAGTGGAGACTATCCTCCCCTCGATAAAGTTGGCAAATTTGGATGAGCAAAAGAGAATTGAAGCAAACAGAAAGGAATTCCGCATTTGAATGCTATCGTGAGTATCAATGTGAGGATCGAGAAGATACTCCCATTTTGCATTCATCTGTATCATAAAAAATTCAAACAAAGCCTGGGATACCTGAGAGGTGATAATTCCTCCCTTTATCGGATCTACAATAGTCTGACCCAGGGTCATAGAAGAGATATAACTGGGCATTTTGACAGAGCCAACCGGTCGCCAGTCGTCTTCATTACCCTTCGTGGGCACACTTATCTTCAAGGGCTTTAGAAGCCCAGAAAGCTTTAAAGATAGGAGTGGCTTTCGGTCTGGCTCAAAGACGTCTTGATGTAGGCGGTTGATTGGAGTATGGTTGTCTAAATTCCCACTAGCATTAAATGAGGGGCTATCTCCCGAGGCGACGAAAGTGAACGGTGACCCTCTTTTCCCTTTGATACTAGCCAAAGCGGCAATGATTTTTGCTCGAGTGGCATTAGTGATTACCGGTTGGGGGTGCTGCGACGGCACCTGCTGGATGCTGTTTGCAGAGTTGACACTCTGGCTAGGAGCATCAGGAGGTCGATTTGCAGGGAGAATTGTATTGTCACGGACATGTTGCTGCGGGCCTCTTTGGGTTCGAGTAGAGGTGCTACCATCCAAGGAGGATTGAGTGCGGTTCTCTGTAGTTTCCGGCCCACGTCTTCCACGTTGGGGATATGGCTGAACCCTCACTCTGGTCCTTTTCGACTGCGCAAAAAGGCATTCGGTGTCATTTGATCTACATCTATCGCAGCTGTGCGATCGATGAGAAACTAGACAGCGAACTTTGGCTTCCCGACACTGAAGACAAGCACTGCAGGGATCGCATTAGCGCTGCACCGAGTTCACGCTTAACAACATAGCAAAGGGGTATGCACTTACATAGGTGCTCGGTGTAGATTGGTTGGCGTGGAAGTGGATGGCGCCATTATTTGTTTCATAAATGTTAGTTCACGAAGTTGTCAAGCTCGAGCAAAAGATAAGCTCGAAGCTCTGGATATGCCATGGCCGAAGCACGGAGGCGCATTCCGGTTTCCCCACGTGTTGGTAGTGTTCTGCCTGGTGTTACCCCTAGCCACCGCCTTGGTAGATCTAGCTTATCTCAAAGGGCCCAGGATAGAGAGTCCTGCTTAATTATTGGAAGATAGTGATTTTTCTACAAACTCTATTGCTGAATGCCCTCGGGGCTTTTTTAGGTGTCGGATGGAGGTTCCGTCTGTGGACAAGTAGCCGTGTACCCCATTGATAAGGCACTCTACTCTCGGCTGATGCATGAATAGTAGTACCGCTCTTATCGTTGCTCTTTGGTCACAGCTCCACAATTATTCATGGATTGCATATATGACTTTATCTCGGTAGATTGAGAGCTATTGACAATGATTGGATGTTTTTAAAGGTTGTTTGAGAAGAAAGACATTGGTAAGATTCCAAGTTCTTGGCGCCGAAAAGCGGATAAAAACCGGGGTGCGGGGTGCCAATGTATGTTTGGACACTTTTACATCAACACTGAGAAATCAACAATATGGGTTCGTCACGAAAGGCAGACAGGAGGGTGGTAAACGCGTAAGTACCGAATCGGAGGTCTTCATTCTTAAGCCCCATCACTAAGACATGTATAGCTGCTCCCGATGTCGCCAGCACAAGATCAAATGCACCGGGGAAAGCCCATGCAGCAATTGTATTCAACGTAGCGCAATATGTCACTTCGAGAAAGAAGCCACAAAAGTTCAAATTACTAGGAAGCGACTGTCAGAGTTGCACCACAGAAACCGCGAACTGGAGAGAGAGAACCTTGCTTTACAGCAACGTCTGTCACGCACGATCGAGACAACCGCAACATCGCAGTATCCAGGAGCAAATTCCCCGATGAATTCATCGACTGCCGCTATTACAGACTCTGAACCGATGCTAATCCACGATGAACATGAGAATGTCAGCATGGTAAACCCTCTATCCTCCGGGCCTCCTGAATATATAAAAGACCCAGCCGGAAAGCTCTGTGAGCTCGCTCGTGCTTGTTGATACCTACAATGTACTAACCTAATCCTCCAGATTATCTTGGACATACTTCGACTTGGTCTCTGACTATCCGGCTCTTGAATCTGACACACGAGGCACTTTACAAATGTCCTTTCCCCAGTACTGCTTACCACATTGACTCTATGATTTACGACTTAAAATGGAACGGCATGCGCAGTCAAGCAGTTCCCGATATTCGTGGGCTTCCTGCAATCGACCATGCGCTATTTCTTATTAACGCAACTAAGTTCCATACCGGGCAAATATTCCATTTATTCGATGAAGCCAATTTTATGGATCAACTACATCGCTTCTACGAGAACCCAGTGGAGAACGTGCGTACGGCTGGATTGTGGCTTCCGCACTTCCTAGTCATCATTGCTCTTGGCAAGGCATTTGTTGGAGCACAAAGCCGTGGGAATATGCCACCCGGCTCTGAGTATTTTAGGACTGCTCTTATGATGCTCCCAGACTATAGCTTTTTGTGGAAGGAACCTTCTGCCTCCGCAGAGATACTCTGTGCATTCGCCTTGTACTTGCAGTCTATAGATTGGAGAACCTCTGCACATAACATGGTAAGTATCTGTTAGGCCCTAAGTCTTGCATGACCGCTCTAAGCAATTACTTACCTTGGACCTGTCCGAAATATTCAGATTGGACAAGCACTGCGAATATTACAAGTTCATGGTTACCACACGGATCTTTCCACCCGATTCACTAATGAGCAAGAATTGGTGCGATGTCAGAATATCTGGTGGACCGTATATATCCTCGAGCGCCAAATCTCCGTGCTTATGGGTACGCCCCTTAGCATTAGCGACAATGATATTAATACCTCATTACCTTTGTTTCCGGATTCACCATTGAAAACAGCAACCCTCGTCGTTCATGTCAAGTTGTCGAAGGCTTTTAGCCGAATTATGAATGGTACGTCGGCTAGCTGCTCCCTTGAAGACAGGCCCTAATTCCACGACAGCCCTCTATAGAGATACTAGGGATATGGAATCCACATTTGTGAAAAGCACACAGGAAGTTCTACAAAGAGTGGCAGACGTGGCCTCTGAGCTTCGGGAAAACTTCCCGCTACCTGAACAAGGAGCCCTGAGCGGCATCTCTCGAGTATCTGGGTACTTGAATTTGCTATACCATCAGGTCAGTTTCCATTCAGTGCTGAAGCCGCTAACTAGTAACACTATTACAGTGTATCATGCTTGCTACTCGGCCGTTCTTGTTTATGCTAGTTGGAATTCGTGCCAAAAGAACAGACCCTCAGATCGAAATTCCCCCGCCTATTCAATTACTTCTACAAATTTGTCTCGAATCAGCAAAGAAAACCTCACAGATCTTGGGATCTCTGCAAGAGCAAAATCTATTAGGTACGAACTAGGATCTCTCTCTCTATGTACCAACATAAGCAGGTTTTCTAATCTGTCATAGAGTGCTTTTTGCCGTTTGATCTGGAAAGCGCCGTCTCCGCCGGCCTTGTTGTCACTATGGCTTCACTAGTCAACCTTCCATTGATTGAAAACAGAACGTCATATCTTGACACGGTGCTTTCCGTTTTAGATCGGATGACTGATCATGGAAACTTGATAGCCCTTGACAAAAAGAGGAAAATCCATCAGTTGGAAAGTCTTTGTGTAAACCTGAAAGAGTCTCCCTCGTCAGCTCTGATCAATACCTTACACCCTTTGCAGTTCCAACCAAGCAATTCGCAAGATGACAATGTGGCACCTAGGATATCTGGTGATGAATGTGATTCCTATTTAAGAGAAACCATCCATGCTGAGGGTCCGAGGGAAAATTGTGAAGAAGAAGAAGAAATAGCTACCGATGCGTACCAGGGGGATAACGATATTTCACCCTCTCAGTTGTTAGAAGCTGCCAATATGTTGGACGGCGGGAGCTTACTGGATTGGGTCGACCTGCCTAATAGTAGCTTTTTATTTGGGTTCGTGGGAGGGGAGTGAGATTTTGTTTTGATGGTTGAATATATATAGTACCCCATATCAATGCAAACGATGCAGCTTAGGTAGTAGTTAGCTACAAGAAAGCAACTTTGTACTGTATGCGAGTAAGGACGGTGCTTATAATTCCCAGAATCACCTATACAGGCTATCCATGCATATCAGGGGCAAACGAAGACCTGGAAAGCAAACCTAGGATCATATCCATTTTTGAAGATAAAATTGTTAGGCGTCATAAGAACCCTTCGTATCTACATCATCCAAAAATTCCGTGCGGTCCAGGTAGCCGATGAGTGCTGCGCTATCGACCTGGTGCTGTTGCTCATCCGAAACCCATCCATTCCCAAACCAACCAAAATCATTGCCATCATATGAACGTAGGTTGTAATCCTCCCATCTGACTTTCTTCAAAGCTTCCAGAGCATGTAGGCTGCTGCCAGGCCATAATGCAGTCACTCGGCCTTTCTTTCGCTCTTCGAGGGATGACCCCGGTGGCGAGGATTTGTACCAACTTGCGCACTCAGCACTGTAAACAGTGCGCTCGAAGTACTTGTCACAGAATGTTGTAAAGTTTTTGACTTGAGATTCTTTCGGCTCGATAAGTCCTATGTTATCATAGGCCATCCTCGAGACGATCTCTGCAACATAGGTGTGAACTTGCTCCATCGTGATGAGTAGACTTCCGGCACCTTGGAATGAGTTCGGGCCCAGAGATTGAAAGAAATTTGGAAATCCACTGGTCGAAAGTCCGAGGTAGGTTTCTGGTCGATGCTTGTATTTATCGCGTAGATTGACTCCGTGTCGGCCGATTATGGGGAACCCACCTCCAGGGTTTGTCTCAAAACCCGTAGCACAGACAATTGCATCCACCGCTCGATGCGTGCCACAAGAAGTAACAACGCCAGTCTCTTCAATTGCGTCAATACCTGTTGTGATGACGTTCACCTTGAGTGAAGTCAGAGCCTCCAGGTAACCTGGTCCCGGGGTGAGACGCTTGCAAAGTGGAGGGAAATTGGGAATCAAATGTTCTCGCAGTTCCGGCTTGTCTTTCAACCTGCGCTCCATGTCTGCTCGATATTGAGCTCGTGAAGAAGCCTGGAGAGCGCTACTTGTTTGCGTCTTGGAGTATAGCGTCTGCAGCTCCAACTCCAGCCCTTTGCGGTATTCAATGTAAGAGGCAGGATTGCTTTGCCAGGCCTGCTTTTCCTCGTTGCTATAAGCAAAGTTTCCTCCCCTACCGTTTGTGCGTGATGATAAGACCTCTCCGCCGTGCTGGTTTGAGATCCAGGTCTTGCTGCGGACGTAATGGTCCATACTTTTGACTTTGTTCAGGAGAGCGGGCACAATCTGAATACCGCTGCTACCAGCTCCAATAACAGCTATGCTTTTGTCCTATACATTATTGATCAGGCACCGAATTCCCAAGAGGGCTCTAGGACATAACCTTACCTTCATGTCATAAGTGTTATCCCAACAGGCACTGTGAAGTAACTTGCCTTTAAAACTCTGCAGGCCAGGAATGGATGGCCACTTCCATTCATTCAACAGTCCAGTTCCTGTCATGAAAATATCGGCGGAATCTTCAAACACTGATCCGGTTTTCTCATCGAAGATCTGCACAAACCATTTCCCTGTTGCGTCATTCCAGCGTGCTCCAACACAGCGACTCTGGAACCTGATGTGCTTCCGGACATTGTACTTCTGAGCTACTCTGTTCCAGTACTCTCGAATTTCATCTGCGCCGGAGAAGAATTGACTCCAGCCTGTCCATGACTCAAAGCTCAACTGGTACACGTGTGATGGAACATCTATATTGTTTGAGCATGTTTATTCTGACTGCGAAAAAAATGCGCACTCACCGCATGCACAGCCCGGATACTGATTTTCATACCAAGTCCCTCCTAGCTCAGGATTCTTCTCATAAATTGTCAGGTCCAGTCCAGGTACGGCTTCGCGAAATTTAATAGCAGCTAGAATTCCCGAGATGCCGGCACCGATGTAGATAACCTTAAGAGGGCGCGGATGGTTCACAGCTCGCTCTGAGATGAGCGGAGTGAAAGTCTGCTGCTTTTCCTCAGAGATGCCGCATTTTGGGTTAATACTTTCCCCTTCATTTTCCAATCTCATGCTTCCCTCACTTGAGGAACAGTTGTCTTCGATAGTGACCGTTGCATGGCATTTTTCCTTAACATCCTGCGGGATTGCAGAAACGGGGATGTTGGTCAAAAAAGCCATGATGAATATCACAAGTGATTTCCTATATTTCCTATAACTCAACCAGGCTCCCATGGGAAAATTTATATTAGAATCCGAACAAGTATAGGAAAATATCAGTATTCTCTCCGGATGGGTATCCGATTAGGTGTGAATGGTTTGACATTATACGGTAGGTCCGATTTTTGCATTCCCCTCCCCTTTGAAACCCCTCCTGTTACTGCTTGACTTCATCTTCTATTCCGATCAATCCGAGTCAGTATCTCGGATTGTCTGCTTTATTTTAGCTAATATTATGCCCCGAAAGTTCGACGGAGGGGAACCCCGACTTTGTCACCTGGACTGATAATTCCTTTAGATCGCCACGTCTGGAGAGATAGGGCCAGTCAGAAATACGGAGTAACTTTATCCGATAAGAAATAGACGTTTTACCAGGTCGGACACCTTTCCGGCGAGGTATCCTGTCGTTCTAGTTGGCCTTCGGGTCTTTGGTAAATTTTGGAAGCTACTTAATTGATGATGACCCGGCACCAACGACCTTTTGAACGTTATTTCTGAATGCCATTATTTGTTAAGTCAAGGACCCTGCAGTGCCATAAATGACGACGAAAAATCTCATCAATATGGCCGTCGAAGTGAGACAATATCATCTGCTACCCACAAGCCTCATCCCCAACTCTCCCAGACCTCTACTTCATTATAAAAACGTGTTGTCTAAGAATATCGACTCCTCACACTGCGACCCAGGCCAGGTCTGGCACATGTTCACTAAGAATGAATGGAAAGTGAACTGGATATTTCGCTACAGTGACACGCAACTGTCCCACTATCATTCAAATGCGCATGAATGTATGGCTGTGCTTTCAGGAACAGCGAGCATCCGATTCGGCGTCGCAGACACGTCAGCAGACATGCACGAGAACACATATAACTCCGCTTGGGAAGAAGGAGGTGTCATGCTGGAAGCTGAAGCAGGAGACGTGTTTATAATACCAGCCGGCGTGGCACACAAGACACATAGTACTATGCCCAAGGCCGAGTTCGCGCTTTTGTCACCAGGCAAAGGGCATGGTATCGAGGCTGATGACCCGAAAAAAGTACTATCCGAGATCAAGCTGGATGGGTTTACAATGATGGGGGCCTATAGTGGAGGCGATTGGGACTTCATTGCAACTGGAGGGAATTTTGAAAGGGTGTGGGCGGTTCCGAAGCCGAAGTATGATCCTGTTTTTAGAAGCCAGGAGATGGGGCTTTGCAAAAGGTGGCATGGAAGTAATGAGGAGCCCAAGGCTCGCTTATAAATGCCTATTGAGTGTATTTTTGGATTAATTTTACCGGACTACTAATATTCATTCTTGCGCCAGCATCTAACGTAGTATTAATTCTACAACTGAAGTGACAGACAGTTTACCGTTGTACAAGTATGCTTCACTATAGCTAGCAAGCTAGGTTATTGAATTCAAACCAGTATACCGTTAAATTTGTGTGGTTGGTTAAAAGGAACTGCACCAACTCTTTGGACTCATATTTAATTCCGAGAACAGCAGGTGTTCCCTAAATATAATAGACGGGAGTACCCCGCTCACCGTTGGACATGTCTCAATTGCTTAATGTCTAATAAGGGTGTGACATTGGCTTTACGATGGTACTTCTAATATCAAGTATGCCGGATGTGGTGTGCAATCTTTTGGGAATGATATTAAGATGATATGATGCTATAACTTTATGAGTTCAGAATTGCACCTGATAAAGAGAAATATATTGCAAACTATGCTCGGTACTGCTTCGCCCTACTGATTGCGGCAGAGACAGACGATTCAAGGATTGTTGAAAGTTGGCTCTCATGTAGTCGCAATATCGCCTGACCTGTGATGCTTCCTGGAGCAGACAAAGACCACTGCAGCTGCTCAGGACTTGTTCCCGCCAGCATCAGACTTGCCATTCCTCGAATACACTGAGATGCAATGGCAATGGAATGGTCTTTTGGAATGCCTTCCGCGACAGCCCGCTGTGATATGACCTGCACTGCTGTAGTTATCAATGCGTTGGAAAACGCACTCATACCAGTTGCAGCATCAAAGTAGTCATGAGTGACATGAAATACCCTGCCAACAGAGTTGAAGATCCACTCTGCTAGCTCCACCGCTTCTTTCTCTAGAGGGTTGTTGGACTTGCCAATGAGGGTTGCTGATTCATGTACCTCCGTTCCCATAGTTGGCATTGCGCGAACGATTCGGAGGCCATCCTCCGTAGAGAGTGCAGGAGTATCTTGCCCATTTATGATCCGAGCTATTTCAGCTCGTGGAGTCCGCGCAAGGATACTGATTATTATTTTATGCCTCAGCGCTTTTCTCATTTCAGCTTCTGCGAGGACTTCGTGGACTTTTTCTGGAGGGAAAGCAAAAATAACAGCATCGGCATTCCTGACTGCTTCAGCATTGTTTCTGCAAAAAACGTCTGCGGGATCCAATCTGCCATTGAACGATTTTTGAAATTGGGTGGGTGCTTCATTGTCGTTCAACGCAACCATGACTTTAGAAACTGGACTCTGAGACTTAGCGACCGATGGAAGCACGGCTCTAAGAAGGGCACTGCCAATGTGACCTAGAAAACTCGTTAACGCTTGAATTTAAAAAAATGAAAAAATTGAAAAATGAAAACAACACGAGGTAATGAAAAGCATTCGCTAGGGTTAATTACCGCAGCCGAGAAATGTAAGGCGAAGAGAAGGTCGAGTTGGAGCCATATTGGAGCAAAGATGGAGAACAAATTGATATCTCTAGGATAGGCGACAAGAAATAGGATCACCTTCAGAGCGGAGTAGCCTTAGATAAAAATTATCTGCAGAGCCATACCATTTATTTTTAACCGCAGGAGAATCACTAAGAATTTGCTCGGTTAGTCTCAACTCGCTCTGCATAACAAATCTTAGGCAGTCGGAGGGGGTAACCGAACCTCGGAAGCTATGTAGAAAATGGCAATGGTAACACCCCACATCAGATAAGGTCAATGATTTGGACCGGACTAGGACTTGACTACGTGCGGTCGGATATGGTGCCCGATTCATAGTATGTCGATGCTCATCTTCGCCGGCCCGAGATGTTCCCCCTGTCTGAAAACAATAAGAAACCTGTCCCCGGTTCAGTCTTCCTTGAATTTCATTAGTATCGGAAATTCAAGAATCACCACAAGCTTTGCATCAACGCCACAATGCCAACCATGCAGTATCCAGAGCCAGCAAACGCCGACGGGGTATGTTTCTTCCACAAATCATTGAGATGATAGATTTGACTGGTTATTAGCTTTCATACGAGCCCGGATCGGAGGAAAGAAAGCTTCTGAAGAACGCTCTTGGACAATTGGAGAATGTAGTTGCTGACATCCCAAGCGTTATTAATGGGGAACGCATTTTCACGGGCCGGAAGAGCGAGCAAGTCAATCCTTGGAATCGATATGGCGCTCCGTTAGCAGTATATTACGAAGTTGACGGGGAAACAATAAAGGCGAAAGCCATCCCGGGTGCCCTGGAAGCAAGAAAGACCTGGGCAAATATGCCTTTCAAACATCGAGCAGCCATCTACAGAAGAGCGGCGCACCTTGTTCAGTCTCCAAAATACCGGTGGAAGCTCCTGGCTGCGACTATGATCGGACAAGGGAAGACATGTGGACAGGCCGAAGGGGATTGTATCGCTGAAGTTATCGATACTTTGAATTTCCATGTCCACTTCTGCGCCCAGCTCTACCAGCAGCAACCGCCAAAACAATTCGAATCTTCGTCGAGTAGATTGGATTATCGGGCTCTGGAAGGGTTTGTGCTCGCTGTGTCGCCCTTCAACTTTGCCGCCTTGGGAGCGCACATTGCTTTCACCCCAGCTCTCCTAGGCAATGTCATTCTTTGGAAACCTTCGCCCATGGCGGTTATGTCTAACTATATTCTGTACGAAATTATGGAGGAAGCAGGTCTGCCGAAGGGTGTGATTCAATTTTTGCCCGCGGCCAACCCGCAAACAGTTGTGGAGCCAGCTCTTACCAATCCTCACTTCGCTGGTCTTCATTATACTGGCTCTTCGGCAGTTCTGAGAGCCCTTCATGCTCAGATTGGCGCCAACGCGCATATCTATAAAAGCTTCCCTCGCATCGTAGGGGAAAGTGGAGGCAAAACGTTGACTGGATTGCTTCTGCTGCAGTCCGCTCAGCATATGAATTCCAGGGCCAGAAATGCAGTGCCTTGTCCCGTATTTATGTCCCGCAGTCTATGTGGGATCAGGGTGCTTTGAGAGTGGCATTAGCTCTAGAAGCAGCCAAGATGACGCACGGCGATGACGTCAAACAGCTTCACCATCCTCTCGGACCTCTATGCTCGGAGGACTCTTTCGGGCGATTTCAAAGATTTGTTCAGTGCGCTAAGGACGAAGGTCACGAATTGGTCTACGGTGGCAACACAGATGGCAGCAAGGGGTATTTTGTTCAGCCTACCATCTTCAAAACCAAAGAAGGTGGCAAGGATGCTGATTTAATGAGCAAAGAGCTCTTTGGACCTCTTTTCACAGTTCAGACATATGATGATTCCGCCGCAGGGGGCTTCGGGGATGTATGCGCGCTCATCGATAGCACATCCGAATACGCCTTGGCAGGTTCTGTCTTTGCCCGTGATAGACAGGCTATCAGAACTGCAGATGAGAAATTGAGAGATTCAGTCGGTATGTTTTGCATCAATGACAAAAGCACAGGGGCGGTTATTGGTGCGCATCCGTTTGGAGGAGCTCGTTCAAGTGGTACAAACGACAAAGCAAATTCAGTGAATGTTTTGCTAAGATTTTCAAGCATTCGCTGTGTAAAGGATAGTTATATGACGGGTAGCACCACTTTGTCTGCCTGCCATATTCCGGAATAGTTAGGGATCAATGGAGATAGGTAAAATAAATTGATTCAACAGTGGAGCCAACAACCTTTCAGAATCTAGGATGTTTTAATCGCGAATCTAATTTCACCGTTAATAGTTCATCACTCAAGTAAAGCAACCCTTTGACCATGGAACCGAGCGTGTTGACAGCCTCCACAGCACTTCCCCGAGAACTGTCTTTTGCGCTATACCTTGTATCGCCATGATTATAAGGTATTGTAGAATATACCCATCGCAGTAGTAGTGTCAAGTTGACTGATAAACTTCTACTAGCTTGAAATCTATGGATATTCAGGCTTCAAGCTCGACATAATAGGTGAACTATCATATGTCCTTCATGACCCATGAAGAGGATGTGATATTAGTCGACCTCGTCGAAACCCTCATGTTAAATGTACAGGGAATATCCCGAGAAACCTCCCTGAATCAGGATCTGCGAAACATAATTCGGCTCCAAGCTAATCTTTTTTACTTTCGTGAAATTTTTTGGACTGCAAATATTTGTTCTCAGCATATTTCCGCTTTACATCAATACGTGTTAATTATAATATGATTAACACGATCAAAATAACGACCTTTAATCCATGGAACAAGTACATTCAATCCCTCAACGTGTAGAGGACATATTTTTCGATTTCTCCGCTGCTGCTAGGATTGCACTTGTGAACGCTGAACGAACTCCGAGCTTTTCAAGTTCTAAGAGAGCTCGAATAGAGCATCCTCCAGGAGAGGCAATTTTCTCTCGTAGGACACTCGGATGATCTCCTGCAGGTACCAGTTTCATCATACCAATCGCACTGTTCACCACCAAATTCTGTACTTCCGGTCGCCTCACACCCTCGGCGACAGCAGCATCTAGCAATCCATCGACGGCAAGGAGCAGCAGCGAGCCGGCACAACCGACCAAGACTGCACATATATCAAAAGACTTCTCGGGAATCTGATGGGCTTCACCGACCTGCCGAAATACCCAGGATGCGACTTCGAGGTTCTCCTTAGTGGTGACGGGACTCGGGGTGAATAATGTCACAGCTTCTCGGATCCTGGCTGCCATATTGGGCATCGCACGTACAGACTGAAGCGACTTTTGACTGTTCGTGTCCTCGTAATTTTCTCCAAAGGTTAGGCGACTCAATTCAGCGGTGGTAATGCCAGCCATGATGCTAAGGACAAATTTATCCCGCAAAGCATCTTTGAATCCGGGAACTGCAAAGATGTCGGCTCTCTTGAAGGGCTTAAACGCTAATAGCACTACGTCTGCTTCTTGGATAGCGTGAATATTGTCATCCGCCGTGAAAATCGTGAGTCGCGATTTGTGATCATAGAGGGTAGTTTCGAGGCAGATTTGAGAGGGTTCGGTTCCGACAGTGCAGATGAGGCGCTTTATTTGGAAAGCTTCTTTATCTTTTGGGTCGAGAATACCAGCAGCAATTGCGGTTCCTAGAGTACCTAATTACCGACAAAGTTAGTTGTCTTATGCTTAAGCTGATGGAATGTCATCATTCACTTACCACAGCCGATTATGGCAACCGTTAACTGATTGGGGTTGATTTCCATCTTTGAATCAAGCTAAAATATTCTAATTGAATAAAACACACAATCATCTGGACCGAGCCAAATATTTATCTATGTCCTCGAGATAATTTGCACCACTCATTTCGTCGTACTCGGACCGAGTCGGTTAGTATCGAGTGGTGAGAAGATCTCGGCCCGGTAGGAAAGCAACATGTAGAAAGATAGACGGAGGGTCTACCCGATCTTGCCCTTACTGGGGTAGAACTACCGGATCACACGGTATAAGCTGACCAACGATTAGCAGGCTTTGCGGGAGCAACAATCAGATGGCATTGCCGGGACTATTTAGTATGCCAAGTAGCGAAGAGTTTACGCTAGCAACTTTAACCAAATTTCCTTGTTTGATGAGGGCATCCGGATGGTCTAACTGATGATATCTTCGCCTATGATGTTGTGTCCAGCTATATGCCCTTTGGAGAACTTGTACTGTTTTCATTCTGCAACTGTACGGTTGTTCAATCACTAGCCGATTCGTAGGAGTGGATTTCGCATGTAGTTACCAATCGTCATATTGCTTATATTCGTCTGTCTAGGGCAGAAGATGAACTTTGTACGTTGGGAGAGTACACTCCGTAGAAATAGACACTTGAATATGACATATAACAATAAGGAGTCTAAATTACTGCTGCTAAGATTACGTGGCAACTCAAGCCTACATCAATTTTTGAAAAGCAACAACCGACTCCGAATTTCACGACTCAGTCGAACTCTCTCTGCAATAGCGCCTCCTCGTCCCGCTAGAACAGCCTTGTTCTCGGTAGCCCGTCTCGCTAAAAATGGCAGGCATTCTTTGAGGTCACCGTAACTCATTGACTTAAGTATTAATCAGCATGAATGACATCGTTAATCGAAGGGAAAATAATTATGTACCTTAACAACCAGTGGGAATCCCCCCTCAGCCGTCAAAGACCCGGTAATCTTGTTGGTCAAATCATCCTTCATACCTGCGATTTATCAGAATCATTACCACAAGCAATCCAAGAAAAAGAATAACCCACCGTAAAGCTGCGCAAAGGCAATACTACCAGCAATCTCATCGCATACTACAAGCCTGTTTGTCTTGCCCTGGCGCTTGGCCATCCCATATTTCTCTAACAACTCGATCCCACGGTCAACGCTGATAGAGTTGTGGGTGGCAAACACGACACTAATCCTGGAGTGACCAGTCTTCCGTATCTGCTCAGCTACGGTGGAGAGTGTCTTCTCAAGCCCATAGTTGTAGGAGGCATCTGTTTCTGATTTGGTTTCCCAAACCGGCCCAGGGCCCTCCCTCCCTTCTTCTTTCCATCTGGCAGCTTCTGTGACCATATATGCACCTCTAACCTGTTTAAAAAGCAGCTTGTAACCCTTCTCATCCGCGCGCTGAATCTGTTGGTTGAGAAGCTGGGGATATCTGCGGAGATAAGCCTGGAAAGAAGCTATACAAGTTGGGGGTCCTTCCAGAGAATTGTATCTTTGCATGAGTTCGTCGGTTAAAGAGTCAATCACAGGTTGATACCAAGTTTGCTCGGCATCAATCACGATCCGGACGTTGCTCTGTCTTGCCTTCGTGGCAATATTCTCCAATACTGCACGGAGGTTCAACAGCTCTTTCCGGTCCGAGTCCGTTACACTTTTGAGCGCCGCTTCCCAGTCGCCATCATGGGGCAATCCCGGATATGGGACATCTTTATCCAGGCCATTTTCTTCTCTAGCTTTGAGAATGGCCTGAGAGCCGTGGTAAAGCGCACTCGGGTTGGGAAGCAGACCAGTGATCTTGATTCGAACCCAGCAACGGCTGTCGCCACCAGTAGCGCTGGTGTCAGGCCAGAACTTGCGCGCCAACTCTCCTTGAGCTTCAATGGAAGACAAAACATGTTGCGTTTGTTCAAGGATAAGTTGGGTCTGCTTGCTTGAGCCGTCAAGTTCAGCTTCGATGTTGTAGCCGAGGAGGGTACCGATTTTTTCATTGCGGAGGGCCTCAATCTTAGGCAGACAATCCGAAACTGTTTCACCCCCAAGAAATTGATTAAAGAATGTTTCCATGACGATGGCGTTGGTAATTGAGGCGAGAATAGGAATTTCCGATAATACGTTGTACAGGGACTCGCTTATATCGACCCAAGCCGGCGAGGAGCAAAACGCAAAAGCACTGCAGAACTGTAGTGTTAGTTAATTTCCACATAATCTCATAGTTTGGACCTACACCCAACCCGAGAGAAGCTTGGACAGTGGAACGGATGAAAGTGCCATTTTATCCCGTGGATCCTCCACATCTTCACACTCGCCTCGTCCAGACCACAACAGCCCAGCGATAGCTAGACTTGTCCCACCTGTAGCGTATGCGATATTCTTAGGGCTGAAAGAATTCTTTTTGGCTCGGTTGCTTTTGCCGTTTATGACTTGCGATATTGAAGCCGACGTAGCAAATCCACGAAGTGGTCGTCGCCTGGCCACATGAAGCAGATGATTTCTCGTGAAAACAAACATGATTGTACAGCCTGCTGGGGGTAAACCTATTGGCCTCGAGCTAGAAGTGAAGAAGCAGAAATTATCGATAGATATGGAAGATATGGTGAGAGATAGTCGCCGGTTTGGAATCTCGGCCCGCCAAGGGTTTCGTGCGTGGTATGCATGTCTCGGACCGAGACACCATATCGACATCGCTACGTATGTGGTAATACGTAGATAGGCGAGAAGCAAGATTAAAAATAACTAGCTATCTACTTTTTTATCTACGTCTACTCTAGCTCGATGATAACAGAAAACCATATCATTGGTGCCTTTATAACGAAGGTCCGTCAATTTCATTTTCACTTGCAGAGAAATATCGTAGATTACCTTTTGCTTTCTTCGCCAACAGTACCAGTTTGACTTAACGATGTAGTTTCAAACGGACAGGTTGTACTGCTCCTACGTCAAAAGCCCGAGGCTACCAAGTCCATTGTAGAGGACGTTTGTATACTGGCAAAATGACGATCTTCCCCACAAAGTTTACCCCGTTTTTTTCTTCGGCCCGAGATGATAAGCTCATTCGACTCCACTACGAGTCAAATGTCCTATGGGTGTTTAAATTGCGCTTTCGATTGCCCTTTCGGTTGCGTTTGAAATTTGGCCTCTTATGCATACTCACATTACAACATGAATCAATCCAAGAAAGACCAAATTCATGAGAACGGACATGATATCGACAATGGGGCTTTCCACGATTTGGCCCCCGGCGAGAACTCGAAAGCTCCCTTCCAGGCACCGCAAGACTTGTTCAACAGCGAAGAGGGTGAAGTCGACTTCCGGGGTGTCTCATGGCAAGGAGCTGCTATCCTAATCGCCAAATTTCAAATCGGCCTAGGTGCCCTCAGTCTTCCATCGACTTTTCACGTCTTGGGGTTCTTCCCTGGAGTACTGTGCTTCGTCATTCTGGCTGTTATCACAACTGTGGCGGGTTACGTTAATGGAAATGCCAGGCAATATTATCCCCATATGCACAGCATCGGTGATGCTGCTGAGTTGCTTTTGGGAAAAGGAGCACGAGAATTTATCGGGGCTATCTACTATCTATATCTCGCTCTCGTCGCGGGAGCAGGTATGCTCACCACGTCTGTGGCACTTAACGCACTCTCTGATCACGGTGCTTGCACCATGGCCTTTCTCGCCGTCGCATGTGGATCTGCCTTTATTTTTGGAACTAGTTTCCGTTCTCTGGAAAAGGTAGCCTGGCTCAGTTGGATCGGTGTGGCCAGCATCGTCTTCGCTATTTGGATAACCGCAATCGCCTGTCTCACCAGAGATAGGCCTGCGGGAGCACCATCCGGGCCGATCAATCTAGACATCCGTGTGTTGCCCAAGGCAAACTTTACCGAGGCTATGTCAGCGATATCCACCCAGCTCTTTGCTTTGGGTGCGTCAGGGACCTTTTTCTCCGTTGCGGCTGAGATGAAGGAACCCCAAAAGTTCACGCGCTCTCTCCTTTGTGGCCAGTCTTTCATCGTTATAACCAACATCGCCATTTCGTCCATAATGTACGGCAAGATCGGCCAATACCTTGTAAGCCCCGCTCTGGGTTCAGCTGGGGTTTTGATCAAAAAGCTATCTTACGGCATTGCGTTTCCCGGATTATTGGTGACGGCCATTCTATGGAGCCACATTGCGGCCAAATATTGGTTCGTCAGAATTCTCCGTGGTACACGGCATCTTCAGTCTAACACAGTCACCCACTGGACCGTTTGGGTTGGGTCAATGACCGTGACTGTTGTTTTTGGATTCATTATTGTCGGTGTCGTGCCTTTCTTCGACGATTTTCTAAGTTTGGTCGGCGCACTATTTAATCCTGTTTTTACTAATGTCCTCCCTGGTCTCATGGTACTCTTTTATTTGGGAGAACAACCTAGCATAGCAAGCGATGGAGTCCAGAGGGTGGAAACTGCAAAAACAATCTCGCCAATCATTTGGTTACCTAATGCTTTCAAAGCATATCAGAATGGATGGAAACAAGTCTTGGCACTTGTAGGTGGAATTTTCATGATAGTTTCGGGAGTTTTTATCATCGTCGGAGGGACTTACTCGGCTATCTTGAGTATACAGGTTTCATATAATGATGGATCGGTATCGGGAGTCTTCTCATGTGGTGATAACTCTTAGGAGCTGAGAAGAATTCCTAAATTCAGTATACTATGTATGTATTGGGGTAGATAGCAGTGTTAAATTGATCTCATGTTGTAGGTATTTTCTGAAGATAACAGCTACTACATCCGAAATCTTTTTTTTTTCCTATGGGTCCATCCACACTCCGGATAGATGGACCCTTCTTTTACCCTGACCCCTTCTGGCCTGATATATCTGCTAGCTCAATATATATTCGAATGGGTGTGGCACAACGGAAGTCTGGTTATGCATACAGGTTGACAGAATAGGAAATATACAAACAGCCATTCCCATATTCTAGCTCTCGGGCCGGGGCGGGAATATAAGGTAGGAACATTCTTGGCACATGTGGCGATTTGCGGGGAAAGCATGAGTAAATTGACGTATAAATCCAAAATCGGACTGTAGCCGAGATAAGACCAAGTAACTATGCATTCTGGCGCAGTGGGCCGGGCCGAGGGCAGTAATAGCTATAGATAAGCTTAGACTGAATCGCGGAAGGGTCATCCGACTCTGTAGCCGGATCAATGGTCCGTAGGTTATGCTTCAACTCCTAGGTCTAATGGGGAATTCCTTTGGTCGTATAAATAACAAATTAAACTCGTTCTCTCCATCAAGCCAATTAACTTCGTCTTTTCCAAACAAACCTCAAACGAGAACCCTTGAACACGTCAACATGCCAGGCCGCCTTGAAGGAAAGATAGCTCTTGTATCGGGCTCAACCCAAGGCTTCGGACGCGGAATTCTTGAGACCTTTGTCCGTGAGGGTGCGGTAGTACTTGGACTGGACCTCCAAGCCACCGATGGTCCCGTTGATGGCTATTCCGAGAACGTGGCCTACCAGATCAAAGCTAATGTTGCCGAAGAAGAAAGCTGGGCAAAAGCGGTAAGTTAAGCCAACCTTCCTCCTCAACACATCTCTCACTTGCTAGTACTATAATGCTGACTTTTCTTTCGTATAGCTCGAGACCTCCATCACAAAGTTCGGCAAAGCTCCGTCAGTTGTCGTTCACAATGCCGGCTGGTCGTACCCTAACAAGTCTGGACTCGATGTGACCGTGGAAGAGTTTGACCGTCTATTCAACGTCAACGTCAGAAGTATCTATCTTGCTTCGAAGGTCCTCATTCCTGAAATGAAAAAGAATGGCCCTGGTTCCACCGTTGTGATTTCTAGCGAGAATGCTATCCGCCCCGGTGCTACGCAGACATGGTATAACGCTACAAAGGCGGGAGTCTCTTCGGCCACAAAGTCAATGGCCTTGGAATTCGCCAGAGACCAACTGCGCTTCAATACTATTTGTCCGACCTCCGGAAACACGCCTCTGCTGAACAAGTTCGCTGGTATCGCAGATGGACCAGTTCCCGCGGAGATCATCAAGGCAAAGTGCGAGTCGATTCCAATCGGCCGCCTCGTTGAACCGTCTGATGTTGCAAATGTTGCTCTCTTCTTGGCGGAGCCTGCAAGCTCAATTATCAGTGGTGTTGAGATACTGGTCGATGGTGCACGCTGTGTATAGAGACTATTAGAATTGAGCATGAGGTTGTCACAGGTCGCCGACGGAATTTGTCGCCTTTCATTGGGCCCATTTTCTATAACGCATCGATAGTGGACTACAATTAGAGGAATTCTATCGTAAATGTGATCTACCCATAACACTTATACTGTGATTTACTAAAATGTACATAACCTAAAATAACGTCTGTACATTGTGATTTGGACAGAATTAAGTTAGTATTTCACTCGCGAGCAAAAGAGGCATTCCATTCACTTGTAGTGAAAATTGCATTACTGAATAATCTTTTCCAGATGGGCGATGTACCAAGCATCCTTTCGAAGCCGAGTATGCAGTCGTCGACGTCAAGTAATCCCCCAAGCCAAGCTCCCCAGTCAAAGAAACGTCGAAAATTAGTTCCTACCGTTGGTCCTGAAATGTTCGAAACAGTCCTCAATTTTTCGGGTATGCTGGCGGATATAAACAGCGATGATCCTGTCGTTCGGTCTAGTGAGAGAGAAGTGACAGAGAAGTGAGAGAGAAGTGACAGAGAAGTGAGAGAGAAGTGAGAGATGGAAGTGAGAGATGGAAGTGAGAGATGGAAGTGAGAGATGGAAGTGAGAGATGGAAGTGAGAGATGGAAGTGAGAGATGGAAGTGAGAGATGGAAGTGAGAGATGGAAGTGAGAGATGGAAGTGAGAGATGGAAGTGAGAGATGGAAGTGAGAGATGGAAGTGAGAGATGGAAGTGAGAGATGGAAGTGAGAGATGGAAGGTGGAGGGCGGACTCCACGGCGATCATTATATGTTAAATTCCTATGTATGGGTTATATGGGTCTAGATTTATGGGTTTACAGGTTACAGGAATGCGTTGATTTAGCACTCTTTACGATCAGCATCTGTATACTCTCTTGGAGCACTATGAGGTTCCAGTTCGGCGTTTGGCTTCGAGTTCTTGCTTCAGTTAGATGAAGCGCCTGCATAATCATACGTAACTAGTTAGACTGCAACAGATTAATTGAACTTTGATTGATTGATTGATTCCACACGACCCAGTAGAACCCAACGTATCTATTTAAGTGTTCGATCTCCCCATAGTAGCTGGTGGACTAAAGTGTCATCATGAAGTAATTAAGCTCCGAGGAACAGTTAAGTAGTACAAGTGGACAAGTAACATTCATTAAAGAGCAAATCAACCTTACTCCAGTTTATCACCCCCTTTATTAATATATTTATATAATTGTGATACGATTGAATCATCTGCGTCTTCTCAAACAGCCTTACGTCTGAGGGTCTGCCTGTTATTTTCCCCTACCTCAGTATCACCGAGATGGCGGAGAACCAAGGCAGCTGTGACCTTGACCTCGATGGCAGCTTTCTCGAGGGCTTAACCCCTTTAATTAAGAGATACACATACCATGGAAAGTCGCAATTCTTTGATATTCTCGGAGCTGAATCCGCTCACTTCGAATCCTCGATTGACATAAGCGAATTCCTCCTCTTTTACGCAAGTAAAGAGACCATCGAAAACATTTTCGATCCTTGGAACGAAGACGAAGACCCTTCTATCTCAAAGCTTTGCACTTCATTTGATACAACAGAACAACTCCTCCTGATCACTATTCCTTCATTCCCACACTCTGCAGCAGCGGATGTCGTGAACACTACGATTCTCCAGACCCTGATACCAATGGGGTTGATCACTGCTCTCCGCGGATATCCGGGTGCAACAGTCGAAGGGGCGGACCGAGGAAAACAACCCAATTATGGCTGGGGACCCAAAAGAAGAGTGCCTGGTCAACCCCGCGGACCGTCTATTACTCTTCAAGTTGCGTACTCAGCATCGGACTTGAAGTTGACCTCTGATGTCCGATTTTGGTTGAACCCTGATTACGGCAATGCGAACATCTGCTTGACACTGCGGATCGATAGATCTCGACCGGAAATCCGGATCGAAAAGTGGGAAAGACAAAACAACAAAGCCCATCGCTCCCAGGTCATCTGGGTTACTAAACAAGGGCGCCAGCTAAAAGTCACTGACCACCCTCTTCTTATTCCCTTTGAAAGCCTGTTCCGTTACCAGTCAACTTGCCCAAGGGAGAAAGAACTCGAGATCTCACAACAGCAACTGGAGGAAATTGCGACGACGATTTGGGACGTGCAGTGGGACCAGGAGGGCTGGTAGATTTCAGTTTTTTTCCTTCATTTTTCGATGCTATTGCTAATCCAGGATCATACGAAGGGAGTTAATGCATTCAGACCCGAATAGTTTAGTTGATTCAATTCAACATATTGATTTATCAACTATAGTGTTTAAATATATTTATCCTAGCTCCAGGGGGAGCCAGAGATCTAGAGTTAACTTTTGGTCCCGGGATCTCTCGTGAATCTTCCAAATACTATCTCCATTCCAACTAAGAAGTACGATATTTATAGAAACATGCTATTTCATCCACTCGAAGACGCGTTAAATGAGAGCTTGGTTAACGGTATGATTAAACACAACGATATGATGAATACTCAGATCATATGTAAATATGAACTATCTTTCAACTATTTCAAGTTCCCAGCTAATAAGAAACAAAAAATACACCAACTAACTCGTTATACTTCGCGTCCTTAGGTGAGAGCCAAACGGCCACTGCCACTCAACATCAGAAACACGTTCAAGTGTCCATCAAATCCCACTCAAGCCTTGACGACGTCGAATCCTTCCTCCCAGTTATCTAGGGCCGCCCGAATCTCCATAGCATAAGCGGGGATACCAGCGGAATAGCACACTGGCTCATAAACCTTGCCAGGGATGCTGCCACCCATGTACGTTGACCGCACCGTGGGGAAGAGAGTCTTGTTATTGAGCTCCACAACATGACTCTTCCATTTATCAGCAGCCTCAACCTTGGGATTGATGTACTTGATCTTATTGGCCTCAATCTTGGAAATGGCGTCGGAAATCCACCGGCCTTGGACTGCGACTGACGTGGGGCCATTGCTCAGGAGCGTCGGGCCGTGTGCACCATAGATGTGGAACATATTGGGGTAGCCGCTCACGGTGGTACCAAGATAGGTCTTTGCGCCTGGGATCCATTCCTTCTCGAGCTCGGCGCCGTCAATGCTCCTCAGGCCGAGCTGGGTCATGACGCCGGTAACAACATCCTAGGAATGTCAGTTTGCACTACATTTCTGGTGTGTCAAAAAGGACTTACAAATCCAGTTGCGACAGCAATAACATCAAGTTCATGGTGAGTTCCGTCCTCGAGGGTGATACCAGTCTCGTCAAACTCTTTGATCGGGTTATTGTTGATGTCGACCAGGTGTACCGATTCCCGATTGAATTGTTCGTAGTAAGTACGTTCAAGACATGGCCGCTTAATACCGAAATAATGCGGCATTTTCCGAGGCGCAAGCAACTCCCTCGTAACGGGGTCACCGATACGATCACGGGTCTTCTTGGCCCAGAAATTGTACCACTCTTTGTTAGCCTCGGGGTTGAACAAGCTATCCTTGTACACAGCGACCCAATAGCGAAAGCCACCCTCCTTCCAGATGCTCTCGTAGAGTGCCTCGCGTTCCTCGGGTGTATCGTCAAAGGTGTTGCGCTCGCACCAATCATACAGGAAGCCGGCAAAGCTGGTCTCGCGGTACCGGAACAGCTCTGGGTAGTAGGGCTTGATACGCTCCTGTTCCTCAACAGTGAGGTCTCTCTTGCGCATGGGTACCGCGAGGTTAGGGGTTCGTTGGAAGACCTTAAGGTCGGAAGCCTCAGGACCCCACGCCTGCGTGATTTGCACACCCGAGGCACCGGTGCCGATGATACCACAGCGCTTGCTTTTCACGTCGATTTCTTCCTCGGGCCAGAAGGATGAGTGGTGCACGATACCCTTGAATTTATCCATGCCGGGCCACGGGGGAATGTAACGTTTAGCGGCCTAAGCAGTTTATTAGTAGGTCTTAGTTTGACTGAGGTGTGAAATTACTTACAAAGCCGGTACCAAGGACGAGGTATTTGGCCTTGGTCGTCCGGCCATCTGCAGTTTTAATACTCCATCTTCCCTCGTTCGTATCAAACTGAGCTCCAACAACGACGGTGTTGAAAGCGCAGTCCTTCTTGATGCCAACTACCTTGTCAACGTGATCGAAGTAATCACGTAGGTTTTGGTAGTTAGGGTAGTTGTTGGGCCAGTTCCACGTATTGTATACCTCGGGCCAGGAGAACTCGTACTCAGGGACTTCGGAGTCAACGCCGGCGCCAGGGTAGCAATTCCATCGCCAGGTGCCACCCGTGTCGTTGCCGGCCTCGAAAATGACCGTCTTGAGGCCGCGATCACGAAGCGTCTTGAGCATAAAGATACCGGCTATCTCGTTAGCTACTTAGTAGATAAAGCATGGAATAAGGGCTTACCAAAACCGGCACCAACTACTAAAGCATCGACCTCGAGATTTTCGGCATATGGTCCAGTCTTGTCGGCGTGAACTGTTGAGTAGTCGGTAAGTTCAGTGTTATACTTCTTCGGCCTGGAGACCATCTCTCCTATGCTGCCCATTTTGCTTGCGATTGAAGATTGAAAATATCAAGTGTTGCTGTTGTTGTAACTAAACAAGACTGACGATTGGAATATGATAAAGCTTTCTTTCCCGGGCACGTCCTCCTACTTATAGGTTTCCTTGTCCATGTCTTGCTGCGGATGTTAGTATATGGTGCCAACAATATCCTACTCGGTGCCCATGATACAGATAACCGCAGGGTACCCCTCCTTCATGCACCACGTGGGGTGGACTTTTGTAGCGATGGTGAGAATGTGGCTTTTTTTGCCAGGAACTTCAGTCCTCGACTGGATAGATTCTAGGTTAGAATATGAACTTTGAAGACCTCCTACAAGCATTAACCCTCATGTCCTTATTATAATCCCACTTTTATGGTGTCGTTTTCCATTCGGACGAGCAAGAAGAACAATTTGATTCTCCGGAAGAACCGGAGCGCTTCAGAGCTGCATTGTCGCGATGCCCCTTACACTTTGCGGTACATGTCACATTAGGGCTTGCATTCCTCAGCCTGCCACCACAGAGTATACTGCAGCTGTGATAGGATCCCGCCGCTAGTTGCAGACGGAGCTGCGACACTCTTGGAAACTTCCCCGCACCCGGTTCCGCAATCCACAGCGGTTCCGCAAAGTCAGTTGGGCATGGCCGCAGCACTGGGGAAAATCCTCGGTACACGCGGGAATCGAAACAGTATCTCCTGCTGTTTGAAACTATTAAATAAGTCACGGTTCCATGTTCCTGATTTTCCTCTGTTCTTTTTGATGGATCCGACCTTTTGTCGATACAGCATAACAATCGTCTATTCTATTCCAGAAAGGTATCAACAACATGTCTCTAAATGCGCAGGCGCATTCGCATATCTGTGATATCATAGACAAAGCCTGCGAAGACCAAAAGTCAGGTATTCCAGGGACCACAGTCGTGGTCGTTGGGAAAGATGGCAACGAACTATTGGCCCATTCTGCGGGTAATCGAGGCACGGGATCCAATGACCCCATGACCTTGGACACTATTTTTTGGATTGCATCTTGTACAAAGATGTTGGTTGGTGTTGCCTGCATGCAACTGGTTGAGCAGGGTGTGCTTAAGCTAGATGATGCGGATCAAACAGAAGGTCTTTGCCCTGAATTGAAGAGTCTCAAGGTTTTGCTACCAGACGAGAGCCTTGAGGAGAAGAAGCATGGAATTACCCTGCGTATGCTGTTAACCCATACTGCTGGATTCGGCTATACATTTTTCAATGAGCGATTGAGACAGTGGTCATACCCGGTTGGAGTGGATGAGTTCTCTGGGCGAATTGAAGACATGAAACGGCCTTTGCTATTCCAGCCCGGTGAAGGCTGGGAATATGGCGTAAGTACCATTTATCCAGAATCATGAAGGCATTTCTGATGACAATAGGTTGGTATCGACTGGGCGGGGATCGCACTGGAACGCGCAACTGGCCTAACGCTCAACGACTACCTACAAAAGAATGTCTTTCTGCCTCTTGGAATCAAAGACATGTCCATGATCCCGAGCCACGACATGCGCCAGAGGCTGGCGTACATGAATCATCGAAGCTCAGATGGTACACTAAGACCTCGAGACCATCTCCTTCGAGCGCCTCTGGTTGTTGATCTGGAGAACGACGCTGAAGTAGCTAGAGTATTTAACAGCGGTGGTGCGGGTATATTTGCCAAGCCGCAGGAGTATTGCAGTAAGTCACGAGTAGCTCCAAGAAATCTGTCGAGATTCTATACACTGACTCATCTCCGCAGAGGTCCTCGCTGTGCTGTTGAATGATGGAACGTGTCCTAGAACAGGCAGCAAGTTGCTTCAAAAAGAGACTGTCGACGAAATGTTCTCTAATCAGATTCCCCGATTCCCCAATTACAGCCGTCAAAGCATCCCAGATGCAAAGCCGGACCAAACCAACCCCATTCCTGAGTTATACCCAGTTGCTGGGAGCCCGCCACAAGGTTGGGGCCTCACGTTTATGATGAGCAATGGCGGTCCAACTGGGCGGTCGAGTAGCACAGGGCACTGGGCTGGGCTGGCGAATTTGTGGTGGTGGGCGGACAGGGAGAAGGGTGTTGCGGGAATTGTTTGCACACAAATCCTGCCGTTTGCGGACGCTAAGGTGGTTGGGCTATGGGGAGCAGTTGAGGCTGAGATATACAAAGCCCTCGATAGGGCTTAATGTGGGAGTCCTTATTGTTTCTTGTTCTATTTCGCTAGTCTGGGATGTAGAGAATACAAACTTTCTGCTTCTCTTTACATATTACTTATATACAAAGCCCCTATAGTCAAGCCAATACGTTTTTCCCAAGACCTGCAAACAAAGGATGCTATTTAACCTTCACGGATGTGCGGACTAAGGGAATTCCGTGGAATGCGGGGGTGGGGGATTCGGAGGTCCCAATCTCAAGATCTCCAAGGTTCGCCTGGATCCCCGCGTTTGGGCAACTTTCAGATTCTCACCACCTCAGGGGAGAAAACCCGAGAATAACAAGTAAAAGTCAATAACGGTAGTCGACATGCCTGTCCAGAAACGAGCCACGGCTCTTGCACAAGGATCCAGATCCAGGCGTCAGTACGGCTCTTGCGACCAGTGCAGAAAGTCCAAACGAGCATGCGATGCACTATGCCTGGATCTGACTAGACGAACATTGGTCAATAACGTTGATGGCCAGCGACCATCCTGTTCGTACTGTGCCAGAACAAATAAACGATGTACTATGGAATGGGCACGATCACAAGCTCAATCTACTCTGAGATCTCCTCGCCAATACCCCCTTTCTGGGCATGGAAATCGAGATCTTCTCTTCCCATGGAAGTCCAATGAACTTCAGGCTACAACTGGATTTGAAACATGGAACAATCTACTCGAACCCAATTCGATACAGGAGCATATGACTTGGGAGTCGGAGTCAGCCAGTGTGAATATGTCGGGGTCGTTACTTGATAATAATTCAATGCTGCTCGGTTCCGTGCTCAACAATACCGAGACTTCACAGGTAATGATGCATGCAGAGACGCCTGGTGCATCAGCATCTACACGATCTGCGTTTGATCTCATGCCACCATACTTCTCTAGTCCCCCAAATACCTCTGCACAACCACCCTCGGACCTCGAAATTGATCCAATGTACCAACAAATGTGGCTGGCTTCCCAAACTTCCCAGGAATCTCAAACATACAGTAGACTCGGATCCGCCCCGTCCCAAACCCCCCAGCAGCCGAGTGACACTTCCTGGATGTGTCTCAACCAACAATACTCGCACTGGAACAGCCCACAAAGGTCACTCTCCCCATTTTCCATAGACCAACAAATGATCAACACATCCACCCGCTGCCTGACTTCAGCGAACCTGCTCCAAATCTACCACGACGTGTTAGAGTATAGCCTATCCTGTTGGTTGAGCGAGATGACTTGTCCCTACCAAGCGGGGTCACGAAGTATCCCTCAGAGTAAACACGAGCGGGGCTCCTCACGGTCTAACATGATATACCAGCGTACCATTAGGCTCGATCGCGTCGCACAGTCTTGCAACCTTCTTCAACTGACACACGCTGAGGACCAGGCCGCGTCCAAGGCTTTGCACCTTGCAATCATGGCGTTCGCTACGCAGTGGGCACAGGGCAGTCACCGGCACCGCGAGAAATATCCGACCAGGCCTCTTGATAATGGCGAGGACGATATTCCAGGTGATATCACTGAAGAATTTGACCGCATTCTCCAGCGCCAATTTTGGGACCAGGCACAGCGTGCACTCCAAGAAGTCACCGATTTGGAGTCTTATAGAGTGGCATGTGCGGAGCTGATCTTTGGCTTGACACAACGGCCATGGAATCCCGGCAATCGGCCCCCTGGACAGGATATACAAGGGCAAGGCCACAATTTTGCTACAGAATCAGTCCAGATAAGATTGAACAATATAATAAACAATGAGGGGCCACCAATATACATGGAGAGAGCAGCTCGAAAAATGCACGCACTGAAGTATCGCTGTGACATGCTCGAGAAGGGCCTTGGCAGGCAGTGCGGCGGTCGCGAGAAGGGCGTCTACGGGATTGAGGCCATGAGTGCCGAAGATCGAGAGACAGTCGGCCTACTCTACTGGATGGCTATCATGTGTGACACCCTCTCCTCGTCCATGAACGAACGACCGGTCGTGGTACAGGATCAGGACTGCGAGCACGAAGGGCAAAAGGAGGCCCAGGATGTGGGGAATATCGATAAATCTGTTGGAGGAGGTCGGTGGAATCTCGATCTTTTTCTGCCAGGAACTCTCGAGCAGACGCATCGAACGCACTGGCCTTGTTCCTATGAGGCCGCCGCTGAAGACATCATCAAGTCAGCGCCAGTCAAGGTTCTTCTCTTCCGCCATCTATCTTACCTACAAAATGCCATTCGCAAGAGTTCCCCTCAAGATCAGATCGAAGACATTCTTCAGATGGCGGTGCTGCTATATGAATACTGGAACAGAACACACGGCGCCTTCTTCGATGAACTGATGCAGAACTACCATGCGGTTCCGCAGCGCATACAGGGCTGGTTTCTCTGTATCTCTGCGCACTGGTATCTTGCTTCTCTAATGCTTGCCGATCTGCTTGAATTTATTGACGACAATTCCCTGGGTGCAGAGGGTGCAACTCATATTCGTTTCGCCAATCAAATGGCGAGGAGAATGAGGATGCACAGTGCCAGGGAGCTATCACATCTGGCGAGAGTCGGTACACCGTCTACTAGTAGTAATAATAACCTAGGTGTGCCGCAGATGTCAGAATTCCACCACGCTGTCAACGAGGGCACGCTCTTGACCGAGCCATGGACGATTATTTTGATCAGAGCATTCACCAAAGCTTGTATGGTCTTTCTAGGTGACGCAGATGAGTTCTTGTGCTACCCCGGGACTACTTTCGGGCATAATAGTCATGATCTTGAGCGAAACATGGAGCAGGCCGAGGATTGTATCAAGGGGTTGTGGCTACTGGGTAAAAAGTCGGATATGGCACGGGAGATTACCGAGATACTTTCACTCACCTTGGAAGAGTTGCGGAATCGTATATAGCTTTTACAATAACGCATTGGCATGCATTTCAATGCCCTTCCAAGTAGCCCGATCGTTCCAGTTTCGGACTGACAACAATCTCCCATGCTTTTCCTTCCTCGTTTTCTGGTTTTTTTTTTGTTTTTTTTTTACTTCAAGCCACAGGCATATAGCTAAGCGCTGAATAAATGATCTCTCAGTAACACAAGACAAAAAACATTCAAAAGCTCAAATCACCAGTCGCGCCACGGCCCCCACACTCTCTCAGCTGAGCTATAGAGTAATACACATTACTGGATGCTCTCCCTCATCTTAAAGCACTATAACTCTTGGCATCTGCACACAGCCACATAATATGGAGGTGAGATAAGGCAAATAATGTGCTGTTGGAGGGGAAATGGCCTTGATTTCTCCTTTCTGTCCCTATAGTTGGTCCATCTTTTGATCGGCATTGGCGTAAATGGGCGACAAGGTGATTATGTCGGCGCTTACCACGCATAGCCCACTTGTATTCTCCCCGTATTTTCAGTGGCAACGAGGTCTCATATCTTGGACTGCATCAGTCTGAAAATCTAGAACTCTTACTCTTTTTCACATAAGTTCACCAAGCGCCTAGGTTGGGACAAAATCTCGTCTGGCACGACCGTCTGAAATTCCGAAAGCCAGAGCAATCAGCATTCTAAAATGTGTACCCCGTACCCTCACTGTCCCAGCGACTTCGAATACACCGAGGAAGTATCACCATGGAAGTTTGAAGGTGACCCTGATATTGTCAGTCTTCTAAATCACCCAATTCACAACAACAATGTGCTATCGTGCACAGAACTCATAGTGTACATTTAGGCTGGCATCGGGGTATGATTCAAACACACACGACTTCTAGCAATTGATCTCCTAATTTGAACTACAGGTGATTACTTCATTCTTCGTCTATGCAATTTTGACCAACCTCCTCGCTTTTTACGCCTACTTCTTTGCCGAAGGGATTGTCCCAGACGACTTTTACAACCACCTCGACTCCATCTTACGTACAAAGGCCCAACTTCTTCTCAAATTCACTACAGAGTGGTGCATCAGCCCTCTGTTTGATAAATCAGCGAGCCATGTCCCCTCCTCATTCCGCCTTCTATGCCGTAGAATTTGGCAGGACCGAGTCTTGAGTATCCGAACAGAGCGCGTCCACGCCATATGCCTCCAACTTGCCGACGTGCAACTCATCACGGGGGCGTCCATTCTCATAATCTTATACTCAACCCATTGCACCATCACACAATATCACTTCCATATTGGGTCGCAACTAGCTTATTTATCTTTCGCGACTTTTCAAGCAACATTCATGACAATTAGGGATCATTTACAAGGCGGCCTCTATAAGCGACTTTGGCGCTACCTCTGGATCGTGGTAATGTTTGGCGCTATATTCCCTACCAGAATCCTGAACTGGAACAGCTATTTTCTCGTCCAGGACTTGTACGGAGCACCCGTGCAATGTGCCCTAGACAAGATGACTGAAGGATGGTATAGCTTAAGTCTGTTCTTCGTGATAGTGGAGTGTGGGATGTTGGTTTGGTCTTTCTACTCTATCACGATATCCCTATTTCCATCCATACCGGATTGTCCCCCTTTTGCTCAAATAGAACGTTTCACGCACTGGGCACTCTCATGGCCATCACGCCATTTGCTTCGAGCACAGAGTCCCGACAGCCCCGCCCGAAAAAAGCGATTCTGGACCGTCATGTTCTTCATGATCATTCCGTGTCGGGAGTTTGTCTTCTCGGAGGCCTTTGGTCTGCTGAGGTTGTATGCAATATTGATGTATGCTGGACACAGTGTGATCCGTGAACGAGCAGAGGCCGCCTACCAGGGGCGCCAGGGTGACGAGAGTGAATGGGGGTTCGGTCAGGTCATGCCTGTCCTTTTGCTGGCCATCCCATTTTCCCAATTTGTGGAAGAACTTTGCCGTATGTACTATTATGTTCTCAACTTGACCACGGTGATACCATTGGCTGGTCTGACCTTTCGTGCACTGATCAGGACTTCAAGATTCTACTTCTAAAAGAGGCAAGCTTAGCACTAAACAGAGTCCTTCGTCTAGTCATGCCATTTCAGCCCGCAATCGAGAGCACTACGAGCTTGCTGTCGTCCTCGATCGGAGTGGACTTGCAAGAGCATGGACAACGCCCTCGCAGACCTCGTACCTCGTAAGTCTAACAAGGATGCTCAACAAGCCTACTTACCTACGACTGCGATTTCCATGAACACATCGTTGACCTTATGTCATTAGACCACAAGGCGAAGAATATTCTACTGGTCAATACGTACAAGTGCTACTCATGGGATCCTTGGCAGTGAGGCTCGAGCTTCGACGGCAGAAGACGAGATGCAAGACAAGCTTGTTCGACTTGAACGAAGTCTTTTTGAGAATGGCATATTTCAAACATGGATGATTTTTCTGGTTTTTTCTCTCTTAGGCATCTTAACTTGGATGACCCTTTCATTAGGGTTACCAATTTAGCTGTGTGGAAGAGAGCCAGGCTTCTTATTCAATACCGACTTATAAACACATGATTTGATTTACCAAACAACCTCTCAATAGGCATAAAGAGCGTCTCCAGCACCAGGGAGAGCACCCCTGCTAATCTTTTTGTTCGTATTCTGCAGCCACCACCTCAACGCCCACGCACTTCCAATGGTTGCAATTCCAAACGCCGTATTTGCCGACATCCCAGTCAAGTAATGTGGCCCATCACTCTTTGGATAGAGGTAGGCTGTGTAAATGTAAGATGCATTAGCCACAACGTTGATAAAGCCAATGGAAGCGGCTTTCTTCTCCGGCGTCTGACCCAGTGTAGCAGATACCCAGCCTAGAATTACTGAATTGACGGCGTATGCACCACTGGCAAACAGGAAGCAAGCCACATATCTTGCACCTTTGTTAAGTGTCCCGCAGGATATAATAAATCCTACAACAGCGACACCCATGGACAATGTAATGTGCCACGTCCGCTCATTGTATCGACCAGAGGTGATGCCAATGATGATACAGCAGATGCTGGAGCACACATATGGAGGGCATGTCAAAACCAAGGTGATTGTGCTGCTGAACCCAAGACTTCCAACAACAGTCGGGAAGAAGTTGTTGAAACCACATGCACTTAGATGCATGTTCTGCATAAAAGCTAAGAGGTACAGGCGTGGGTCGGCCATGGCTTGCTTCAAGCCGGCCAGAACACCCTTTGACTCGTCACTACCGACTGTGTCTCTTTCAATGCGGTCATGAGCAATTTGGCGCTCTTCCGGCGTCAGCCATCGTGTGGTGAGAGGGTGATCTGGCAGCATGAAAATTCCGAGACCGGCAATGCCAAATGTAACCGCGCCCTCAATGATGAAAAGCCACTGCCATCCTTTAAGGTTCATGTGCTGGTCTAGAGTTGCAAAAGTTGCAGCTGCGATCAGACCAGCAACAGCGGTGGCAGCAATATTGCCAGTATACAGGATGGAAATTCGCAAAGCAATTTCCTTGCGCGTGTAGAAAACTGACAGTAGGAACAGCGCACCAGGATAAAACGGAGCCTCGGTGACTCCCAAAAAGAATCGGACGAGGAGAAGACCGATGTAACTTTTTGTCAGAGCAGTACAAGCTGAGACTATAGCCCATAGTGCCATGCACCCGGCCATGTATAAAGAAGGTCGGAACTTCTTTGAGGACATGAGCATGTTCGACGGGATTTGCATCAGGAGATATCTAGTTTCCAAGACAGGCTAAGTCTTGTTTTTTCTGCATTAGGGAAGTCTCCAACATACCCGACAAACAATATCGAGATACAAGTGTTGTACTGTGTTCCGACAAGACCGAGATCCTCTTCGAGGTCGTTGAGACGTGCATTGGCGATAGCATTACGATCGATCTTGGTTTTACTTGCATTAGCTTATGAGCTTGCAATATACCTAGGCAAAGGTAATCCTTACATAGTTCAGAAAATACATTGCCCACAGAATGGGCATGATTCTGAAGTCCAATTTGCGCACAAGTCTGATTTCCGCCGGGTCAATCTTGGCTTTAGCCCCGGAATAATCCCCGTGGGCTTTCTCATCTGCCACTTTGAGGGAGTCAACATCTTCAACATGAGCGTTATTGCACTCTTTGTCTTCCAATGTGGGAGTCGAAGATTGATTCATGGTTTTGGAAAAGATTGCTATAGCTCTGAGGTTTGATACCTCGACCGGGGAAGTGAGTATTAATAGCAAGAAAGTGAGATGAGATAGTGGCGATACCTTCACCCGGTGTGTAGGAAAAACAATTGAGTCAGTGATATTCAAGCATCACGCCACGAGTGAAGGTCATTTATATACAATACTTCTCAGCCAAAGTGGACAAAGAGAGTCCGTTTTATCCTCACGCCTCATGAAATAGGCTAGCGAAATGCCGAAACTCATAGTGAAAACAGAACGAGAAGAGATTGCCAAGATACCAAAACTCAAGCTCAACTAATCCGCATCATGTACTCCAGACTCCGTTCACGAACCCCATATTTTCCCCGCCTTCGACAAGGTCCTGTCCGGGGTAGCTAAAGCCGGGGATTTTTGGGTGGCCAAAGAGCGGACACGTGCTAGAGTTATTACGCGAGATATATGTGCCAAGTATGCCTTGAAGGGATTGGTTTGGATTCTCGTCGGTTCTGAGCCCCTTGCGGACTATATCAACACCGCCAAAAGAGACACACCCGGACTTTGCAATGTCCGCCCCAACACAACAAAGTCAGTTTCCTCTGCAAATATCCCTTTTCCTGTGAAGGTACTGAGCCTTTCTTGTCAAGTGTTTTATTATATGACGGTACAGGCCTCACTCATTTGCATATAGGAGGCCAGGTCTCCGCCCTGAAGTTGGGTAAGTTGTTGATGGAGTGGAAGGTCACCTGTGTAGAATGCACAATCCACCACTATAAGCTATCGCGGATTCAATATTCCAATAACCGCTCCTCTCTCAATCCTATATCTTACACTGTTGTCATGTTAGCTTGGATCCTAGAACACCTCCTTAATATATTCCTGGTGTCGCTTTACGAATTCCTGAACCTCTTGCTTAAGCTTCCTCTTTTTTTATCGTATATTTTTGCTTTTTTTTTATTCTAGGTACACCCGGGGGTAAGCGGAATAATCAAGCAGCTATGAATTGCAATATGATATATTCGATCTAGACAACTCACTCGGTAACTTGAGACGCCCAAACCCCCGAATTAATGCTCTATTGGCAGGATATGTCTCCAGCGACACAACTTATCCTAGCTGCGTTCTACAACTCTTGACCATCGTGCACCCGGCCTATACTAGAGGCCCCTTAGTAATAGCAAATAGGAACTAGTTAAGCAAATGTCTATATTAATTAGTAAAAACCTAAATGTCGTAGGGTAACTTTAATAGGTAAATAAAGGTATTGCTCAAAAGTCTAAACAACTACGATATATACTATACTAATATATCCTTATACATGCTATATTTGCTATCTATACTGATCCTTTTTTACCTTACAACCCTATAAGCTGAAAAGAAACTATTAAATAATAACGTGGTAACATACTGGTAATTACTAGTTCTATTTACCCTGCAACCTCTACCCTGCGACCTCTACCCTGTGACCCTGCAACCTCAGTCCCGACCCAACCCACCATTCTTGTCATTTTACTCAGGTTGGACTGACATGGCTACTCTTGACTCCCTCAAGTGGGCTCTTAGGCAACAGACCACCGTGATGGGGTCATCCCCAAAGCAGCCATTATCAGACATACAGAACAACGCTGGACTCGATATCTCACTACGGGGACCAGGGTGGATGACGTACCAGGACTTTATCGTCCCTCAACTTTTGGAGCTCCTAGCTCCCCTCTTCGACTCGCGTATCAATATCTCAGTGTTGGAAATTGGACCTGGACCGAAGAGCCTACTTGGATATCTGCCCAGTCGTCTGAGGAAAAAAGTCCGGAGATATGCTGCATTTGAGCCCAATGACCTGTTTGCTACAAGGGTGGAAAAATGGCTTTGCTCGACATCAGAGATGGAGTCCCCGCTACCCTGTCTAGAAAGCCCACCTGATATCTATCGAATTCCATTCGACCTGAACGGCAATGCAAATAGTGGCAGTGACACGGGTGATAGCGACGAAAAGTTCGACGTTATTCTATTCTGTCACAGCATGTATGGCATGAAGCCCAAAGCCAGGTTCATCGAACGAGCGCTAGGAATGCTTGTTGAAGGCCCCAAAGATGGAATGGTGGTAGTGTTTCATCGCGACGGGACCCTACACCTCGACGGATTAGTGTGTCATCGAACGACTTCTTTCCCTACCGGAGCCGTTTGCGTGGCAGATGACGACGAGGTACTGGACTCTTTTACCCCGTTCATCGCGGGGTTTGTTATGCAGGATGTGGAGGCGGACAAGACTATCCGAGTTGAATGGCGTAAGGTGTGCCGCGCCTTAGGTCGTCGCGAGAAGACCCACCCAGACCACCTCTTATTCAGCTCGCCAAACATCATGGCAGCATTCACCAAACATGCGACAACTTTGCCGGAGCTGACGGCGCAGGTGTCGTGGTTAGAAGAGGGAAAAACGGTTAAGAACTGGGAAGCTCGTCTTCACCATCCCGCCGCGGTTGCTAGGCCGACAGAGATCCGACACGTCCAACAGTGCGTTCAATGGGCTCTGAAGCACGGGATCGGCCTGACTGTCGTTGGCGGAGGCCATAGCGGTCACTGCCTATATCCTAGCGTCGTTTCGGTGGACATGAGCGCCTTTGATCAAGTACATATCCTCACAGCCGAGGATAGACGAGAATCTGGTTCCGATTGTGCTCCATTGGTCATCGCCGGAGCGGGCTGTAAGACGGGGGATATTGTCCGCGAGACCATGGCGGTAGGTATGACAGTGCCCTTAGGGGCACGCCCTAGCGTAGGCGCGGGGCTATGGCTACAAGGCGGCATCGGGCACCTAGCTAGGATACACGGGCTCGCGTGTGACTCCATCGTCGGTGCCGTTATGGTTAGCGTCGACTCTAGCCAGCTCCTTTACATCGGCCGTGTACCAATCCAACACCGGCCTGTCGGTGCCGTGCGCCCAGATAACGAAAGCGATCTGTTATGGGCGATAAAAGGCGCTGGAAGCAATTTTGGCATCGTCATCAGCGTTACCTTCCAGGTGTATACGGCTCCGATGTTCTCGGTTCGAAAATGGGTTGTCCAGCTGAGTGATAATCTCGAGGCGCGGCGCAAACTTAGTGATTTCGATGACTTGGTCGCCAGGAATCTCCCCCGGAACTGTTCTGCGGATGCATATCTGTACTGGGACAATGGCCAGCTGCAATTTGGCGCAACTATGTTTGAATCTTCCACGACTGGGGTCACTTTTGAAACGCCTATGTCGATAGCCACGCCCGTGGAAACAATCCTCGGACCGGAAGACAATTTTCAGGTCGTGGACGGTGTCGGTTTGTTCGATACCGAGCTGTACATGTCCGGAATGCATGGTGGCCACGCAAAAGGCAAGACCTCATCGTTCAAGCGATGTTTATTCCTAAAACTTATTGGAGCATTGAATGTCGCCGAAATCTTGGTGGCAGCCATTGAGACTCGTCCCTCGCCACTTTCTTATCTCCATCTACTACAAGGTGGTGGAGCTATTAGTGACGTTCCAGCCGATGCGACTGCGTTCGGTTGTCGAGACTGGGACTTTGCATGTGTGGTAACTGGCGTCTGGCCACGCCAACAAGATGGAACCGAGGTCGCTCGTGCTGCCGTGCAGTGGGTCTACAACGTCGCTAGCAACTTGTTGCCTGTGAGTAGCGGAGTTTACGGCGCAGACCTTGGACCGGATCCCAGAGATACCGCACTGGCGGCCAAGGCCTTTGGGTCAAACCTACCACGCCTGGCTCGCCTCAAGCAAAGATCAGACCCGCTTAATGTGCTAGCCTATGCCTGCCCGCTCCCAAAAACGCCCATAGAACAGAAGATTATCATTCTTATAACGGGAGCAAGCGGCGCCGGCAAGGACCATTGCGCCAACATCTGGGTCTCTGTATTCCTTGAATGTACCCATAAAAGATTAATAGCACGCGCAGTCAGCATCAGCGATGCGACCAAGAGAGAATACGCAGCGGCCACTGGTGCCGACTTCAACCGCCTGCTTCGGGACCGTGCGTACAAAGAGCAACACCGGCCAGCGTTAACCACGTACTACCAGAGCCAGGTGAAGCATCGACCTCGGCTGCCAGAGGAGCATTTTCTAAATGTTGTATACGGCGCCGGAGATGTGGATGTGCTGCTAATCACCGGTATGAGAGACGAGGCGCCAGTAGCAGCCTTCTCGCATTTGGTACCAGACAGCAGATTGCTCGATGTTCGTGTCAAGGCTAGCAAAGAGACGCGGCGTTCTCGCCGAGGCTGCTATGGTGGTGATTCTGATGGTGACGACAATAACGAGAATAGCGGACCAAAACCGAAGCCCTTAGACTACAGTCCCAGTCGCATCTTCAACAATGACGCGACCGGAAATGAGAAAGCGAAAATGTTTGCCGAAGACTACCTGCTTCCCTTCTTCGATAAAGATCTTCAGCGACTGGGCAAGATGGTGCGTCCAGTACCCGACTTTCCACGCCCAGGCGTTAATTTCCAACATGTGCTCAACATCTCCCAGCAGTCGGGTGGGCTAGCCCTGTGCACCTCTCTACTGCATACTCACTTCACTGGTGACTGGGCCACAGTTGATATGATAGTATGTTGTGAGGCTGGCGGCTTTATTTATGCATCCGCGTTGGCCTCGCAGGTCAACGTACCCTTGGCGCTGATCCGCGAAGCCGGCAAGCTACCCCCACCCATCGTTTCTGTCCTCAAGAGTACATCTTATATCTCTTCGACATGCAATTCAAGTCAGAGCAGGATTGAGATAGAACGGGATTTGATCCCTAGAGGCGCGTCGGTAGTAGTGGTGGACGATGTACTCTCCACGGGGAATACGCTTTGTGCGGTGCTACAGCTTTTAGGTGAGGTTGGCATTACTGATGTCAGCATCATGATTGTAGGTGAGTTCCCTGTTCATCGTGGCCGACAACTGTTGCGCCAGCATGGATATGGCGTCAATATCCAAAGCCTTTTGGTCTTTGATGGTACCTAAGGAAGGAAAGTATGTTAGAACCTTGGAATTTTAGACTTGCGATCAAGTTGTTTCACTTTTTAGTGTTGATATGTATGCATTTTGCTACATTTACCAATTCCATCTACCGCTTACTAGCCTTTGATTTCACAGGTGTATAACTAGCTGATATACCTTTTTATCTAAAAATCATCAATAGTGCGTAATATGTGAATGTTGTGCTACAAATGATTAGAACGGCTCTCCGGGGGCCGTGACATGCCATCTCCGTTACTCCGCTACTCCGCACCTGATCAGCCTCATCTTCAACAACTCAACCATGTACGACTCCTATCGTCAGTATTTCTATAATGCTCATATATGTCTGAATAACTAACAATATTTTTAGGACCCCACCCTCTTCTCGCCCAGGTCCCACTGACCGTCTCACCCTTCATCAACCTCCCCACCTCCGTCACATTACCCTACACATACAAATCCGTCCCCTCATCTCTACCCCCCTCAGTGACAATCGATCCAAGCAGCCCTGATGGTAAAGCCCGCTATGTCGTCTCCCCCAGCGGTGGGCACGCAGCTCACCCAGACGACGTCCTCGCCGCGTGCCACTCCCTCGAACATCATTTGAATATGGCTCGCGCCAACGCGGACCAAGCGATCAACTCATGGAAAGAGTCGATCAAACAACGCGAACTAGCCGAGAAAAGACGCCTGGCTCCTGGTTGGCTCGACCGCGAAGAAAAGCTCCTTCAGCCTAGCCGGGCCAGTATGTCCCCTGACGCACAGGGTGATGCCCATCCAAGCCTGCTGGATAGCTCTTCCCCAGACCAAGGCTCTTCGCAACTGCCGAGCATGGTGCCGCATAATGATGGAGAGGAGTTGGATAGAGCGTTCGGTGGTCTAGGTGTGAAATGAGGAAGGATGGTCATACAAGAGAGTTAATCCCTCCTTGTTCGTTATATGACAGAGATGCTTGGAAACCAAATTCTCAATGTGGCACTGTGAATCAATCGCCGAAATAAGGTCTCTAAAGGATGCACTATGTTTCGGTGGGCCTTCCAGCGCTAGGCTTTTCTAAGCCCTTGTCAAAGCAGTTAATAACCCCCGAGTCTGCGATATTTCGCTTTGCCGTGGGACTTTGACTGTTGGCTCTAAGATTATGTTGTGCTGGGAGATGAATGGGGTGGATCAGTGGGTAATTGTTCCTTGGACTGGCAGCCCGTGTGGTTTATATCATAAACCGTTGCATGGTGGCAATTATTGCTAAAAGACAGTATACCAAGGACTCAATATTTCTAAATAATGCTGTATATAAAATCTCTATGCAGCACAACAATTGTAATGGATATTTCTAGGTTTGAACCGAAAAATGTACACCGTCCATGAATATATATTTCTTAGAATTGCGGCTCTCCCAAGCTCTCGGAAAAGCTCCACCCCGCGACGGAAGCTCTTTTTCATTCCATTCCAACCTCACCCTGTCCTATCATTCAACGCATTTTCTCTCTTTCCAATCACACTTATATTACAACATGGAGATTATTCGCAGCCCCCCCGAAGCTTCCTCATTCGTGCCGCTGGCCGAACACCAGTCGCGAACCCCAAGCTCCTTCTATTCCGGACCCCCAGTATTGTACCACCACAGCCAGCGCTGCAAGATCGTCATCCTTGAGCGCGAGCTACTCGCCACCCCAGCGCTGAATGCCCTGCGCGGCCAGGATGCTGCTAACAGCGGCGGCGCAAGCCAGGATGACGAGGACAAGGAGGTAGCAATCTCAGGCGTGGACACCTGGGTGACATCCGAGTGAGTCTATCAAACCCACCCCCCTCCTTCCATCTCAAGGCCAGGACACCGACTGACCAAATATACCACTCAACAGCAAGTTCCTCCTCTTCTCCCCCACCGCCTCAACAGGCGTGTCAATCCCCTACCCCTCAGTCTCACTACACGCACTCCAACGGCTACGCGTTCCAGACACCGACGCCGAAGTCCAGGGCCTGTACATGCAGGTCGCGACGCCGGGTGCGCCCTCCGAAGACGATGAAGAGGAATCCATCACACTGACAGTGGTGCTGCCCGCCGACGCCACGCTACAAGAGCCCGTGGAGACGGAGACGGATACACCCACGCAGCAGCTTTACAATGCTGTCTCGGCGTGCTCCAATTTACACCCTGACCCTGTTGAGCAAGGCGATGAGGATGACGACGAGGATGGGCCTAAGTTCATTTCGGCCGGGGAGCATGAGGGAGTCTTCCAGCTTGGAAATGGTGATCTGCCCCCGCCTGTTGATGGGAGCTCTGGGTGGATCACCGCTGAGAATATGGATCAGTTCTTTGATGCGGATGGGAATTGGATTGCTGCTGGTGAGCCGCCTTCTTTCCCGCTTGGACCTGGAGCTGGGACTGTTAGGGCTCGGGAGGGGGATAATGGCGCTGAACAGAATGGAGATACGGATGAGACTAAGTGGCGGAAGACGGATTGATTGGGATTAGACTGATTTGAAGGGAAATATGAAATGCACGGTGTAGGATCGGCGTTCAAAACACTTGACTAGCTACGTAGTAAACCACCGATAGTTTCGGTTTATTGTTTAAGGAAACATACGAAGTGAATTGATTGGATTTCTACTAACGATTTCCTGTTTCATGAATATCAACCCGAGAAAACACACATCAAACATGAAAGCAGAAGAAAAAAAGACGGGCCACCAGGCAACCAGAAAGATAAGAAGTAATTGAACAAATAAAAACAGATAGAAGAGAAGCAACACTGAAGCTTTTGCGCCAACATCAGTATCGAATACCGCACACTAAAAAGGAATCAAAATGAATCAAAAGAAAACTGCCGCTTTCAAAATGGACAAAAGACACAATAAAACTAAGCTTATTCCCGTAGGAACCCATCACCATCGTAAAGGCTACCAGGCGTGGCAGTTCCAAGTCCAAGTCTCTTGCTAGTGGGAGTAGTCATCCCTCGACGGGGGGATGTGGGAGTCGGGGGTGCATGATGGTTCGACATATGAGGCGGGAATTGTTGGTTGGTTGGCATGGGACGGGGGACATTGTTCTTGCCACGGATGGGGGAGGATTCAGGCGTGCGGAATGCCTCAATTGGGGGCTGTACGGAGGTTGGAGGAGGGGAGGTAGTCTGGTTGGGATCCTCAAAGATAGTGACATGATCTTGGACCATTGAGGACCGGCGGGGGCAGTAGAGTGAAGAACCGCCAATGGGACCCAGCCCGTTGTCCAGGCTGGAAATGGCAACACGGTTTCCGCGGAATGAGCGATTTGGAGCATCGGTTTTGGCGCGTTGGGGTGAGTCTGTGGATCTGCGCCAGTCACTACCTTCTGTTCCGGTGATACTCATGACAAGAGGGAGGCGGTTGGGCGAGGCCAGGGGACTATCTGGTGTATGATGCGAGGTTAAGGGCCCGGAAGTCGATTGTCTTCGAGCTGGACTGACGCCGGGTTGGTTGCGAGGCCCCTTTACCGCTGAGCGACGTGGGCTACCGATGGCAGGGGAGTTCTCGTGGTGTGCAAATGAAGGTTTGGACATTTTCCAGACAGGTGGTACTCTTTCAGGAGATGGAATGTGGGCGAGAGAGTTGTTGTGAGACATAGGGAGAGATGTGAACAGTTCAGGAAGAGCGCGGTTGTTTTCGAATGTGGGCTTCTTGGCACCCAAGGCAGATGGAGCGCGGTTTCTCTTTTTGCAAGGACTGGCGTCGTACATTGGGGGTAGAGGTTCCTCGACTAGTGGCCCGAGAGATCCAAGGCCGGGCTTGCCATGTCGACTGCCGTACTTGCTGCGCCTAGAGGAGGAGAGAGGGGACGCTGTAGTTGGTGGCAACGAAGGTAAGGGTTTGACTGGGTTGTTGATTGAAGTATCACGTAGATCCACCTCCTCCATCTTATCGAAGTCTTCTGGTTCCTCTTCGACGGTAGGAGAGAACGTGGATGACCCAAATGTCATAGGTGGATGGATAGAAATACGAACACAGTTTTGACGTCGGTGGCCCTTGCGTTGGGGATTTCCACCTTTTAGTGCAGAGGTAATATTGCCATTTTGAGAGAGATTGGTACGCTGCATTGGGATTGATGGCTTGGTGGTATTGCCTGCCTTGCCTGGTGATCTAACCTGGTGGAATAAAGTCCCACCACCAGGCGAGCCAACGTAGAAGGGGTCATTCTCCATTTCGTCATTCTCATAGCCTGTACTTTTTTGACATTGATTGCTATGTGGTCCAAAGGGGATATGAGAGCCCGAGGATCGCGAGGACGTTGTTGAATTTTGATATCCCAAACGCCCCACTGGAGTCCCAGATCTCAAAGAGGCATGTCGTGAAGGGGGATTAGATGAAGACATGGAGTCAGTTCGATGTGGGGCACCACCAAATGGATTGATGGAGGCACTTGAGTGGTGAGTGGTCAAACTTCGCCGAGGTGACAAGGGTGCGGATTTATGACGAGTTTCAGTTGTCGAGGAGGAGCGGACAGGGAAGTTGTGCATAGGAGGGATCGAGGTGTTGGTGGCAATGAAACTCCTCCGACCATCCTTGACCCCAACGTCGGCAGCGCTGAAAGGTACAAACGTGCCTGAGGGGAAGGTGGGCGAGGTCTTATCAGTATCGGCTGACTTGGGACCATTCCTCCCATCATCCAAAATTGAGCTATTGGTAGTATCCAGACTCATGGAGGAAAGTCTCATTGCAGAGTCATTCCTAGCATAACTAAATCTGTCTGGGGGAAATGCAGTTGGGGGAGGAGGGGGAGGTATCGAGTGGCCGGGCATCATCCCGGCTGTTTGACTAGCAATACTTCCCCCACGAAGACGAGTAGGAGACTCTTCGGTGTTTGAATCAAACATAGACGAGTTACGGTCCTCTGAAACAGGAAAGAGGGTGGACGGGCCTCGTACTGGAAAGGGCCATCCAGGTGAAACAGGTTTCATACCTAGATGGAATCCAGTATCAACTTCGTTGGGATCTGGTGTTTGTGTTGGAGTTCTCTCTGCTGGTAATTCCAAAACCCCCTCGACAGCTGAAAGTGGGACGTCTTCTTTTGATATTAATATGCTCGCTTTAGGTGGCGGACTAGGAAGTTGAGTTGATTCACTCAATGCAACCAATGTACCCAACGAGCTCATGCGTTTGTGGGATGATCGCGATAAGCGCTTGGAACGAGATCGAGAAAGGGAATGGCGGAGAGATCGTGCTTTCTCGGTAAACGGGAAAGATGACGCTGAATCGCTTTTCAGACGATGCAGGCTTTCTCTCGACGTCAATTGGCCCCATTCTGATGGTTTACCATATGGAAGCTGTCCGTGTGCTCTTAATACGCTCCCTTCTGCCCGGCTCAACTCAGTCAAGGTGTCCACCTGGTAAGATTGCAAGGCCCGACTGCGCCGTCCCGGCCTCTGCGTGTGGCCCATCAACTTCATTGCATGGTGCTCTTTGCGATACCTGACCCAGACAACAATGCCGACTACCGAGAGGGAAATGAATATGGCGGCGCCGCAAGCGGCTATGGCGATGATGGAGGACAGCGCCAGCATGGTCGCCTCGCTGGTGTGTCGATGGGCTGATTCCGAGGCTGTCTCGACACAATTGGCGCAGATGGTCCTATCAATTCCTCATCCGTGAGTAGCGGGCTGGTTCCGAACATGCGATGTTGTGAATACTCGCTGTATCAAAACGGCAACACTGAGGCTTCATAGAGCTGGAAACTTCACCCTCACGAGAGTAAGAAACAACGAGTTTTCCTAGCATTTCATCAAGGGGACCACCATTTGTTATGGGAATATCGATTCCAGCTGAGGAATGCTCATTCATCACCACCCGGTGCAAAGAATGCTGGCGGCCACACTACCCCCTTCGATCCTGTTTCAACTGTGACAACGCCACCGAATATAATTTATGCGAGTGGGCTATTGACACATTCAAGGATCAGTATTGGGTGGTTATAATGGGTGTTTAGTGTCCTAGTCGATGCCGGTTTATACTTGATCTGTCGAGTGCTTTTTTCACGTCTTCTTGACATCTTTGGTCGATGGAATCTAGGGCGTGTTTTTAGGCATATTTCTAATCACTGGATGGACAGCAAACAAACCCAATAAAGTATTCAACCATACACATCGCCTTTCTACTGGTCGCCTTTGATGATACTCCGGCGATCAAAAGATCAATGCGCGTCCTTGACCAACCCTGTTCTTGTCTAGATAAGTGATTCATTTTGATTCCAACTAAACGGCTTTTGTTAGTGCTGGAATATAGATTAGTATACATAATGGATGTGTAGTTTGGTTTGCGTTGGATTATGTTGTATAGAGTGATAATGCATTGCCCATGATAATTGCCCCTTGCGTTCATGGTTCTCGAATTCAGTTGAATTCTAATGGTAGTAGAAATTTGAAACTCTCTATAGTTTCCAGTCATTTCCACTTATTAAAAAAGTCGGTTCAATCATATGTATCCCTTCTGCGATTGGGAGTCAGCGTGGATGCCGTCCTCTTGGGGTCAGGTTTCTTTGGGATTTCGGTATCCTTGTTGGCCATTCCGCAGAAGAGGGGCCAAGTCAGCGTTATGTTGGAGGAGATTTGACCCCTGCAGCTCGAATCATAGCGTTCAGTCCAAATTGAAGCTTTGAACAGTATATTAATAGGAAAGGTGTAGAGTGTATGTTCCATGTTGACAGTCTAGGATGCGCGTTTCCCCAGGTTCTCGGGTTCACCGCCCCATAAGGGAGGAAGGGGATGCCCAGATGAGAATAGCCTCTTTTCAACTGACACAACCGACTTTTTTGAACAGGTGTATCTGACCATACAAAAATATGATGTATCTCATTCCATGTCAAATGATTATTCTGGGGCGCATATTGCCATTCTCCACTAGTTACGGATAGGAACCAGTGTCATTAAAGCACAATGCAACAGCTCCCCACCAAGGTCTATACATGGGGAAGCCCACGGTCTAGTCCGATCCCCCCGCCAGCGCATCGCTCACCGTCTATCACCTTGGGGTTTCGAGTGTTGCCCCTCACAAGCTTCATATTTAACGTCTCCCGGCCTTGCATCTACCTCCTTTGACTTTCACTTTTCTTTCATCTCTGTCTACTCTTTTCTTGTTACAATGGCTGCTAACCCTATTAACAAAAATGGACTCTTTGTCCACAACAACACCACTGCTCCTGAGCATCCCAGCCTCATGAGCATGTTCTCCCTTAAGGGAAAGACTGCCATTGTTACCGGTGCCGGTGCCGGTATCGGTTTGGCCGTTGCTCAGGGTCTGGCCGAGGCTGGTGCCAATGTGGCCATGTGGTACAATACCAATGCTAAGTGTATCGAGAGGGCTGCCGAGATCGCTGAACAATACAGCGTTCAGAGTGTGTAATGATCTACGCAATGTGATTGGCTCCACATAATTCTAACCCTATTTCTTTCACAGCCAAGGCTTATCAAGTTCAGGTCACCGATGCAAACGCTGTAGAGAAGGCTGTCAACGACGTTGTCAAGGACTTCAATGGCCGCCTCGACGTCTTTATTGCTAACGCCGGTGTTCCTTGGACCCAGGGCCCTATGGTCGACGGTCCCCTCGACCACTACCGGGATGTTGTCGCCATTGATCTCGACGGTACCTTCTACTGTGCCAAGGCTGCCGCCGACCACTGGCGCCGCCAGAAGGAGGAGGGTACCGATGCCAATGGCAACAAGCTCACCAACTTCACATATGGAAGCTTCGTTGCTACTGCCTCCATGAGCGGTCATATTGTCAACTTCCCCCAGATGCAGGCCGCCTACAACGCCGCTAAGGTTGCCGTCATCCATCTTTGTAAGTCGTTATTCAGTAACCATCAGCTTTATTGCCCGGCTAACACCTTCCCAGGCAAGTCTCTTTCTGTCGAATGGGTCCGCTACGCTCGCGCCAACACCATATCCCCCGGTTACATTGCGACTGAGATCTCCAACTTTGTACCCGAGGATACCAAGAATATCTGGCGCGACAAGATCCCCATGGGCCGTGAGGGCCAACCCCACGAGCTGAAGGGTGCCTACCTCTACCTTGCCTCCGATGCTTCTACCTACACTACCGGGGCCGATCTCATCGTTGACGGTGGCTACTGCGCTCCCTAAATTCTCTCACATCGAATAAAAAAAGCAGGGCCTTTGGTTTGGAGCGTAAATTTCGGAGAGATTGATGCCAGCGATTTTTATTCAAACGTGACGATAAACGAACATGACGATAAAAAGACCAGACTAGATGGACAAGTCTAAATCAAAATATTGTATTTGCAACGTTTCTCCCCGCTCAGTACGTAGGCATCAAAAATGACTCGCAAGGTAAGATGGTGCCCGAAACACACCAATGCAAGATCCTGACGGATGCATTTCCCCATTACCAGCACGACCAGCCACATTTCCACTTGTGCGCGATTACCGAGCCAATGACGCTATGAGATCATGCCATGCAGAACTTATATGTCCGGATCCTAGTATCCTGGTGGGAAGAAATGGCTCAATCCCTTGCGTGGCGTTGATAATCCCCGCCAACGAAATCTGGAATGCGATCTACCCCCGTGTGACAGGGCTCATAGACCGATGTGACCAAGTCCACCAGTCGCTTCGATCATACAATATCACCTACAACCTACGAGATACCCAGCAACATAAAGGCATTCGTAGGGTGGAACTTGGATATTGAAATGACGTTGTTTTCATAAACCTCAACTGGAATAACGACACATGGAAGTAGCTCATCGCTCAGCTGATCATGTGCTCGGACATTCTGCCAAGCCCGCGAATGTTGTATCTGTCCCTCAGAACTTTCATATGCTGCTCATCTCCGTTGTTCCATGATATCGGGAGAAACAAAAGCGAAGATTCCCTGAGATGTCCACTCAACAACCTCATCTATCCACACCGTCGGTCCTCCTTGCTCGTGCTCGTTATCAACGTTGTAAATAGGTCGCTCGAATTCGAGTTCCCAGATGGGGATATCATCAGTTAGGTTGCGTGGCTCGAAGACAGCCTCGTCGAGAGCGGAGTTGGACCATTCAGAGTCATACTCGTCAGAGGACACTACAGATCCAGAAGGACTGTGTGAAGGGCTGTGGGTAGAGATCCCAGCCATATCCGCAAAGACGGACCAGCGTCGCGGACGGTATGGGCCTCCAGCATAGCTGGTGGTTCTATTGAGGCTATCCATTTCTGTCTCGCTACCGCTGTCTGGAAGCGTGTTCGGTGTGTCGGGAGCAGGGTCTTCGTCGTGTCGATGGTAGTCAGGCGTTGGCATGGATGAAGTCGCGAGGGGTGAAGGACTTTGTTCTTCTTCGTCTTTGGTATCGAGGTTGAGTACCTCATACCCTGCCTCGGGCATGCGGTTTGGCAGATTTTGGTCGATGGGATTACGGTTGAGGAGCTTGCGCGCAATGTGTTGGTACATGGGGAGGATAATGCGATTGTGGAAGGCACCGAGGTTCTGCATAATCGAGGCATTGTAGACGGCAACCACAAAAAGGAATGAGAAGGTCAGGCATATCATGGGAAAGGTAAGAGAAGCTTCTGCCATATTGATTTTGTTGATTGCAGATTTTCTAGAAGTGAACGCGCGTTGATGAAGATAAGAAGTGCATCTGCCGATGTGGGGAGGGGAGGAAGTAACGCGAAGAGGAAGAAAGAAAAATCAGCATTGACAGCTATTGTGAATTAGTGAATAACGGGCTGATAGCAGTGTCAAACCGGCAAAAACTAGACATTCAACATATTTTCATTATGCTACTACATATCCACCCCCCATAGCAATATAAACCGATATCAATGTACCTAAAAACAATAAGATTGCGAGTATTATAGTTGATCACTGACATCGACACAATTGTACCTGAATAACATTGGAAAATCTTTATAGGGAACCCCCTTAGTTTTCACAAGTATTCCTCGACCCGATGATCCCCTAGAGTCACGATGTTCTTTCACGATGTCCAGTCACGCCCAAGGTTAGTTGCACCTTCCCCAGATGACCTTTCACGCCCACACGTCACAAGAAAAACCCCTGGAAGGAGCCCCCTCGGTGGTTCCTATATTTAGTTTGATGCTACAGCTCTCCCATAGACGTCGGCTCGTAGGATATCCAAGTATCTCATTGTATAGTGAAGCATTCACTATTCATTGTTTAGCTGCTCTGTTTTCTTTGTTTGACTCGAATCAATGGGTCTGATACTAAACACCTTGTTTGTCCTGATTTAAATTAGAATCATGGCATCTATTGTTTTCTCCATTCCTTTGTCTACGACATCAACACAAAGGCCTCTGACACATTGTATAAGTGCATGCCAAACAGCATCACTCTTCCCTCACATCTTTCTCACCCCTCCATCAAATCACAAAACTCTGCATATACCTTACTCCAATCATCTCCTTAACCAGAACACGTGTGCACTCACACAATCATCCACCATGGGAATTCCTATACTAGATACGAACCGCGTTAGCAAGCGCAAATTGGCGTCAAGGAAAGTCTGGACAGAGGTTGTCAAGGAAAAGATTGTACAGTTATTCACTGGAAACCAGCTCCTATGTGATCCATTTGCTGATAAGCCCAAGTCGCCGCAAAACGCCGCTCTACAAAATGCTCTCGACTGCACCGAATGCAGAGATCTGCACATTATTCCATACATGTTGAATGCAGACATTGCTGCCGGATCATATATCACCTCGGAATACCCACCTTTCTTTGCTAGCAAAAACACACCAGATAATGATTCTATATCGCCCTTCGACGCAGACATAGTAGTCCACCAAAATAACAATGCGACATTTTGGGATGATATTACGCCTGCCCAACAACAGCGTTACTACGACAAGGTTGATACCATTCTAAAGGCCGAGGCTGAGTCAGGAACGCCAATAGATGAAGCCACCGTTCTTTTCGCCCACTACCAAGTGGACTTCCATATCCGCCAACACTACCTCGCTCCCCGAAGTATCCTTAATCTATGCCGCTCAAAGGATGATATCAGGGCGCTGAACCACTGGCAGTGGAAGTGCGCTGTCGAAGACGAGACAGCAGTTGCAGAATTCCCCGACTGGGGTGTGGGATGGATGCATGATCCGAGCAATTCTATCGGCCACCAGATTGCAGCATGGCGTATGGGAGAAAGAAGGCGAGAGAAACACATCGCAGAAGTGAAAGCCCGGTGGGCCGAGATCATGGACGAGAGACAAGACCAGAGAATGCGGACAGTCAAAATTTTCTACAAGGGCGTGCATGTTAGGACTTGCAAGTATGAGCCATGTGAACCGCGTTTGACAGAGAAGGAGATTATGGATATTGCCGGAGAAAAAGGTGCACGCCATGAGGCCTTTTTGATCGCTTCGTCGTGTACTACTTTATAGCCATTTGAATAGTTTTATTTGGGTAAAATATCATCAAGGGCATTTACTTTCACTTGAATAGAATCGATAACACTGTATATAAATAAAACGAAGTGTATACGTATATATACATATGAATTTGGGTTTAGGATGATGGTTTATGTGAGTGAGGTATCAAGGAGAGAGAGAGAGAGAATAGTAAAAAAGAGGTAAAACTAAACCGAGGTGAAAGGGAAATAATTTAGAGAGCAAGAGAGATGGGGATGAGACCTGTTTGTGCCTACCCATATAAAAAGCCCAATATACATCGCCCTTGTCGATCTCGCCAAGTCTCCCGGCATTAATACTATCCCTGCATGTTTCTCTAATAGTGAAAATGTTGTGACACGATGCGAAAGATAAGTGAAGTTAAATAAATCTAGTAGGCAATAAACTAATAATATTTGAAAAGTATATGCGTAACACTCTATGAAAAGGAAGCCAAATTAACCATAATGACCGACGGCTGGTGTCCTATTGAAAGGGAAGAGACCAGTTGGTAGTTTTGGTCAGCGTAGAATGACCGTAGATCCTAATTATCGAAGAACTTGAAGAATCAACATTGACCCCAAAATAATCAATTCTTCCTAGGCTTGATCTTGCCTATTTGCACCTTGAGCTCGCGACCCCCCAGCATCAAATCATGGCAAGTTTCATTACGAAGCAATAACAAACATATATTTCAAGGATCATATTTTCAGAGTGGCTTATAGAAGGTATGCCGACATCTCCCAGTGAATCTATACCTAGATAACATATATGCTCACGTGCAGTAATTTAATTTGTCACATCAAAGACGTCAAGGCGTATGTTGTGTGCATTTCATGCCCTAATCTGGGTTAGCAACGGCTGAAATGAAAGCAGCCCGAGGCCAAGCTGGGGTCGATTTGCTATGAGGCATTATTGGTCTGCAGTGCATATCGGGGAGTCAAAAGGTATTCGAGAATTGAATTTTAGTCAAATGGTCCTAGTTTGGTGGCCCTTGCCCAGCCCATTAGTTCTCCAATTCCCCGGTATTTTCGCCATTTCTTTCAACTAGCCGCCCATAACGACGATCAATTTTCACCGTGATGACATTGGCTAGAAGGGATTGGGGCCCAGAACATCACCATGCTTAGGCCCCATCATGCTGCATTCCCCGCGAAAATTACCAGACGGATCCGAGATCTTCCATTTTGGTTACTTCTTTGGGAAGAATCCCCAAACTCGAGCAACTTTACCCCACCAAATCCCAGAGATTGATGCAGGCGAACAACGGAAGTAAAGTGTTCCAAGGCTCAAAAAGTTGAACTGAACTCTTGATACCGTGGGAAAAGGAGGGGGAAATACGCCAGGCACAGATCTCCCGGTTGTGGCTGGCCCCTCCTTGGCCCATGACAAGGTTATCATTGACCAACTCCCAAGACTCCCAAGGCTGCCGCTTCCAAGGCTCGGTCTTGGGGAGGTCACAAGCAATTAGCCCGTGTAGTATCCGACATATAGGAACCCTTGGGATTCTCCATAAATCCTCCATGATTGGCGCCTCAAAGCCGTCCCTCAAGCCCCCGTTTTTTTTTAAGGAGGCGCTGCGCCACCAATGAAACCCAAATGACTAATCCTTGCCATTTCGTCACTCTCGTCCATGGGGGTGGACTGCGTGAAACCTGACTTGAGAGCTGTGACCACGCAGATCGGGATTTGTGACGTTGATATTCAAGATTCTGCACGGCGAACAAGGGGGTATAAAGGGGCCCTTGCTAGCTACAAAATTAATGGGTCTCTGAGGTACTATCGGATTAGACTAATAGGGCAGTCCGTGATCTCCTGATCAGAGGGAAAGACATATGTTTAGGTTCAAATGTATGTTTTGTATTTGTGCATATAATTTATATACATACAAGATTGTTTTATTGTATACTTCGTTTAGCCACCCAACATCATTATTATTCCATTTTCCTTTGACCGGGAAGCCGTAACATATGACGTAACGTCGCCGACCTATTAGGGTTTTCCCGAATCACCGGCCCGTGAAGGTGAAGGGAAGGTTTCCATATGTATATATATAACAGATATATAACAGATTGAAATTTATAATAGAAATTTATTGTAGATGTTTATTAAAATATAAGTAGTCATGAGCGATAATCACAAGGTTAAAAAACACCCCCCCTCAAAACGAGGGGAACGAACATCCACCGACCCACTGCTGCGGATGAGAAAGTGGGTTGAGCCTTTGGGAATTTATAACGTCGTCAGGTCCTAAACCTGTTACCCAATCCCTGCTTCTCTTTCTCCCTTCCTTTTGATCTTCCCCCTCCATCTTCAAATCCTACCTTTTACCTCTTATATTACCCCAAACCATCCTCCATTTTGATTAACTTGAATTATTATGTCCACCAAGGTTTTGCTCGTCGGAGCAGCGGGTGAAACCGGAGGTTCTATCGCCAACGGACTGTTGGATACCGGTAACTTTGTAAGTGGTCCAGCTTCCAGGCCGACCAATTGACCCCGGACTAATTGCTTCGATTTTTTTTTTTTTTGCTAAATAGGAGGTCATCGCCCTTGTTCGCCCTATCTCTGCCCAAAAGCCAGCTATCACGCGCCTCCAGGATCGGGGATGCCAGATTCGGAAATGCGACTTGAAGGCCCCAGAGGAGCAGCTCATCGAGGCGTTGGCTGGTATTGATGTGGTTATCAGCTGTGTTGGTCCTGCCGAACAACAGGACCAGATCCCTCTCGCCAAGGCAGCCAAGAAGACTGGCGTGAAGCGATTCGTTCCATGTGGTTTCATCACTGTCTGCCCACCGGGTGGTATCATGTGGTTGCGTGACGAGGTATGAGGAATGTGGCACGGTACTTTAATCAGTGGGCTGATCAATCTTTTACTACGCACAGAAAGAAATCGTCTACAATCAGATCCGCCAGTTGTGGCTTCCCTACACCGTCGTCGATGTCGGCTGGTGGTACCAGCTTGCCTACCCCCGCCTTCCCTCCGGGCGTGTCGACTACGCCATGACATCTGGCAACGATGAAATTATCGGTGATGGCAACATGCCCACAGCACTGACCGACTTACGAGACATCGGTCGCTACATGGCTATGATCATCTCCGACCCCCGCACTTTGAACAAGAAGATCCTCGCCTACAATCTGGTCTCCTCGCAAAACAAGATCTACGAGCTCATGGAGGAACTCAGCGAGGAGAAGATCGATCGAAACTACGTAAGTTGCACGGACTCTTGGCTCGGAATGAGTCAATGTGGCTAACCGATTTTCCCTTTTTCCGGAGCACAGATTCCCGAAGAAACCATCTGCAGCAGAGTCGTGGCGGCCCGACAAGCCAGTGAAACCTACCCCTTCGACCCAATCAAGTTCATTCCGCGGTACCTGGCCGAATATCAGCTGTCTTGGGGAATCCGCGGCGACAACAACCCCGAGTACGCCAAGTATCTCGGCTACCACACTACACAGGACCTGTACCCCGAATTCCAACCTACAGATTTCCGTGAATATCTCGAGTCGGTCATTCGTGGTGCGGCCAAGGGTATTTACACCGATCGCGTAATCTCACGGAAACACCAACGGCACTTCCCACGTACCGAGTCCAGCGATTCCCTCTACACGCGCATATTCCCCCGCACGGAGTCGAGCGATTCGCTTATGTCGCGATGAATTGATGAATAGGAACCCCTTTTACGTATCTCGCGTTACCTCTCCGCCGCACCCAGGAAGCGACCGTTCTAGACGAACGCCTGCCCCGAACCGCTGCCATTTGGGAATATTTGACAAAGACTTTCATGACATCTCTCTCCTCCCCCCTGACCCCATTTGACGGGGCCATGGAACTCAGTATGCAACCGACTGGTGCTTTTTTTTGGTGGTGTTGACAAACTTTTGGGCGTTTGTGATTTTATGGCCTTTGATAGACGCTGGCTACTTTTGATGCCTCCTCGATGGGCTTGGTGGCAATCCTCAGAGCTGGCATAGGAAATGCTCTATTATTATTATTATTATTTTTTTGCCCATGCCATTCAATTTCGATTGTCCCATGATGGGATTTCTGCATATAGAAAATATATCCCAATCATCTATGATCCCAATTAGTTGTGCCTCGTTCTTTCCTATTATGGCCTCACACTTGCACAACTACTATTATCCCGGCCTCCCGGGCCATCTCCTGGCTGTTCACTCGATCTCTACTCTTTGATTCATGTTTTTGGCACTCGTCTATTTTGCTTTACCTAGGCTCGTCGGGCAGAGATTCGTACTTTTATTCTTGACATACAGCATAGGAGATGTTTCCCCGACGCCGACTGGGATCGCGAACCTCTACCTGCGAACTGGGGCCCATCAGCGCTGAGCCACCGACTCCACAAACTAACCCGGAAGTCCATCAGAATGAGCATGCCCTGGGCTTCACCGATATATACGGGTCATTGACACCCCGTCAAATCAGTATCATCAGTCTGTATCCCCCAGCCTGTACGGGGGTTCTACATTCTAACTCAGGCCTCTAGCCATCGGATCGGCGATTGGAACGGGCTTGATGGTTGGTACTGGAAGAGCATTGTCTATGTAAGATTGGTTCCTCATATCATGCGGATTTCTTCGATGCTGAATGACGTTGACTCCAACACAGGAGCGGTGTAAGTTATTTCCTAGGAACCTCACGGGCGAAGATATTGATATGTTATAGCCGGCAGCTATAATAATTTCCTACACCATCGTCGGATTCGCGGTTTACCTCGTCCTCTCTGCCTTGGGTGAGGTTGGCTCATGGTTACCGAAACCATATACCGTTGCAGATCAAGCCGTCCGATTTTGTCATCCTGCACTTGGATTCAGCTTGGGCTGGATGTAAGTCCCCATTTGCGACGAGAGCTACACCTAACTTACTCCGTTTTCTGACCGCACCCCTAGATTTTGGCTGAAATATGCTGTTGTCACACCGAATCAGCTCACAGCTGCCGCGCTGGTAGTTTCGTATTGGGTCAGTGCGGAGCGAGTCAATCCTGGTATCTGGATCACAGTTTTCCTTTCGGTCATTATGACTCTCAACTTCATCAATCACCGACTCCCGAGCAGAATCGAGTTCTATGTCTCTTCATTCAAGCTTGTTGTTATGCTTGGACTCATGATACTTTCCACCGTTATTGCTCTGGGAGGAGGCCCTGATCGAGATATGAAAGGATTTCGGTATTGGTCGTACCCCGGTGCTTTCGGTGCTAAGCCCCATCATGATAACGCGTTGCTAGAGAAGTTCTACATAACCTGCTCGACGATGTCATCTGCCACCTTTGCGTACATCGGAAGCGAGCGATCTGGCATGGCTCACTTCCCAAACGTTCGAAAGGCTACCTCAAGGGCTATCCAGAATACCTTTTATCGAATCATGGTCTTCCACCTTCTAGCAATCACCCTTCTTGGGATGATTGTCCCCCAGGACTCGGCCACTGTAGTATTTTCTACTGATTCCTCCCGCGAGGCTGCCGCATCGGCATTTGTTGCAGCTCTGTATTTGGCAGGCATCTCCGTGCTACCGGACTTGTTGAATGCATGCATACTGTTGTTCGTCCTGTCAATCGCAGACTACGATCTCTATCTGGCAACCAAGGCAATGTGCGACCTCGCAGTGAAGCGTCGTGCCCCTGCTTTCCTATCACGCACTACCCGGCGAGGCGTCCCGATCTACGCTTTGGCTGTGTGCTCGTCAACTGCAACATTGGCATATCTTAATGTCCGCCAAGACTCAACTGTTGTCTTTGGATACTTCGTGGACATGGTCACAATGCTCGGGTTGCTCACGTGGATTTCAATTCTCGTCACCCATATATCCTTTGTGCGAGCACGAAAGGCCCAAGGAATTCCCGACAAATCTCTGGCTTTTAGAGCTCGCTTCGGTCTGCCTGGGACGTGTTTGGCTCTCATTCTCTGCTTGTTCATCTCCGTCGCCATTGTCTTCGACTCCTTCAGTTTCGATGCAGGTGTTCGGACATTCGATGTCAAATCGTTCATTGCCTCATACATCAGCATTCCGGTCTATATCATCTTGATGGTTGGCTACAAGCTCGCTGTCCATAGTAAACATGTCAACCCCAAGGAGGCTGATCTATGGACAGATAAGATTGAACAGGACAATGAGAGAGGGGACACAGCGGAAGGAAGTTGATTATGATAGAACTTAGTATTTTATAGGTCATTCTGGTCCGTCCTTAGGGATCAAGATCATTGACCAATTTTGTTGACTAACGGGGAAAAAAGCAATTACACCATTCACTCTATTCTCCCGACTGACTATTATGTGTCTATATTTAGGTACTAACTCCAGCTTCAAGTTCCATTATTCGTCCAGGGTCTGGTATGCCCTGGCGAATAACCCCCGCCTCACATTTCTTAGCAGGGCCTGTGTGATTGACCTGGAAACATCTAAGACATCACTCCGTATGCAGCCCTGAATCCTTGATATGTAAAATTGTACAGTTGGCACAGTGACAGGTCAAGTGGGGGACACTAGTAGCAGCTACCCGAAGTTGGCGCGGGTATAATGTTCTTTTGCACAGCAACCACCCGTGGACCTATTCCGTATACGGTGTAGATAGAACTTCCAAGGTTGACGAGTTAAATAGAACATTCTGCTGATTTAAGATCACCATCCCCATAAATTTGTTAATCTCCTATTATTAGAACACTACTCATAAGGGAACCCAATGCATCTGCGGTTTGTTTACCCCCCACCATGCCTTCGCATGAGACTAACAAAGAACCCTCAAGACACAGTCGAATCTTGCCATTTCATCCTTCGCCTGACACTGCAACAGAACAACATCAATTCTTTCCCTGGTTTAAATGGGAGATCCTGTGCTCTACATTCCTCACACGAACATGGACCCTCCCACCACCCCCCACCACCAAAAAGAGGATTTCCGCACTTTTATCACAAAAGTGAACGTCAAATTTGGTCTCGAGATTCCCCTCCCTGGAATTGAATCCCCTTCGGCGAGAGAGAGAAACACCAGCCTCCCCAGTCAGATTTACAAGCATATCCGCCCGCTGTTCTTCAATAACAAGGTTGACAAGAGAAGCCTACTTGGCAATCTCGAAGAATGGGTCCGCGGGAACTTGCCGTTGGCCGGCCAGGGCCACGCCCAGAACCCTAAATATCGGACCAGTGCAGATCGTCGGGCAAGCCAACGATACCAGAGCGAGGAACCCGCGCTTCCGCTCTCGCTTACTGGCCCCGAGAAGGAGATGTGTATGAAGCAGCTGCTAGCGCTTATGGAAGACGAGGAATATCTTTTAGCGAATGGTCGTGTCGTAAATACGAAAAAACGGTTAGCAGCTAATTGTTTCGGAGATGCCCAGGGCTTATCACTAAAGAAACAAAGGTTTGATGATGAAGATGAAGACGAAAGCTTCCACACCGCGCCGAATTCCCCCGTGAAAGGATCTGTGCTAGCTCAGTCCCCTTTGGGGAAGAATGGGGATGGAGGTTTACAATTTCCCGAGATGGTGCAGGCTGCCTTCCAAGGATCTCGAAGGACCTCTGGGACTGTCAACTTGCCGGTCAATAATCATCGAACAATTCATTCTCCTGCGCAGGGGCCGGTGGGAATTACATCGCCAGCAAAAATTCCAGTTCACCTGTCTTCCGGAAGGAACGATGGATCCATTCAGTCGCCTGGACATGACAAAGGGAACTTCCATTCCTCGGCCAAGTATTCGATGACCTTCCCTCTGCCAGCCAAGGCACAACCAGTACAGGGCCAAGGGAATCACCAATCGCTCCCTAGGAAAGTGGTCACTAAATCACAACCCAAGCCTCAAGGTAATGTTCCCACTCCGACGAGGAGGTCGACGAACATTTCGTCGCCAGCAAAGACTCCAGTGGCTGCCCAATCACCCGCGAGGAACCCTGGATCTGTCCGATCGCCATCTGAAACCCCAAAATTGGCCAAATCACCCTCCAAATCGCCGTTGAAACAGATGGATCTTCGATCATTTGGGTTTGGCAACAGCCTCAACAAAGAAAATTCTCCTACCGAGGAAGATGTTGAGTTTAAGAAGCCTACTTTATTTGAAAAGCTTAGTGCAGCATCCGAGGAATCGAAGCGTAACAATATGGCACATTCAGCCAATACCAGCTTTTCAACAATGATCACTTCGTCGGTATTCAAGTCTCGCGATGATAGCATGGGCCAATCATTTGATACCGACATGACAGACCTGACCGAGCCAATGGATACGCAATCAACATATGCAGACTCGGTCGCCGGGTACATGGCTAGCGACGAGATCCAAAGGAGCGTGGATGCTGCTGCTGTCTCTATGATGGTAAATGGAGACCCCGTTGAGACGGAGTATTCCATTAAACAGGAGTTTGTTGATGAGCTCCTGTCCTATGGCCCATTCTCGGCGGAAGAATCCTTCTCAGCGACAATTCCGTTGCGATTCCGATATGAGCTAGAACGCATTAGACGCGCGTGGGGAATTCCCTCCAAGCAAATACTCGTTGGCGACCGTATTACCTTCAACACTCAAGATGATTTCTGGTCATGGGTCGGCGGGCTTAGTCGACGATATGGTCATCCCTTGCCAGAGAGATCGCCGCGCCGGGCCTGGGATGCTGCTGTTGGTGATTTCAAATCAGATAAGCACTCAGAGGTGGTGGTACTGTCAGGGGAATTGGACTGGTGTAATGAGTCTGAGCCGGGTATTTTCAAATTGAGACTCAACCCGCTCAAGCCAGAGTGGACGTGTCGATTCCATCGAAGATTTGGATCTGATAGATTCCTTACTCTTACTATTCCAGCGGCAGATCAGCCTCCAACTCATCAGAAACAACCTTCTTACCCGTCAGTCCTTCGTGAGAGTATTGCCTCCTGGCTCACGCGGAATTATCATCATTGCCTCGGCCGGACGTGGCGGGCCTTCTATGTCGAAGAAGTGAAGACCAAGCGAACGGCCAAGGGTGAGCCTCGGTTTCGAGTCGAGTTCTTCGCCATTGACGGCGACGACTTTGATCATGGGTACCAGTTACCCCCAGTGGTGGCCCCTCCTCAGCAGCAAAGTGGCAACTATACTCCGATGAGTGTACGTGCTTTGTTGGAATGGCATATGCCCAAAGCTGCGAATGCAAATCAAAGCAATTGTAAGCTCTTCCAGCGTATATCTCTGGGCTTGTCGAAGACGTTTGCGACAGTCAAGTTAAAGCCAATCCAAGTGCTTTATTTGAGAGATGATCCAACCCGGACTGTCATGAATGATGGATGTGCTTTGATTTCGAGGACTCTTGCGAACCAAATTTGTGATCAACTGGGCATAGCCACCGCCACGCCTAGCTGCTTCCAGGGCAGGATAGCAGGCGCTAAGGGCCTCTGGATGGTTGATTGCCATAAATCTAGTATCACTGCCCCGAACGACGATGACATCTGGATTCAAATCTCGGACTCGCAGTTGAAAATACACCCTCATCCGCGGGAATGGGATGATCCGGTTGACGATGAAAGGTTGACCTTCGAAGTAGTAAACTGGGCTAAGCCATTGCACCCTGTTGACCTTAATCTTCAGCTTCTTGCAATTTTGGAATGTGGAGGGAACGTGAAGGAGTATATTGCTAAGCTCACGCGTGACGGTGTGCAGAGACTTTATGACGACTTCCTGGGAGTTCTCCGATCAAACAGCCCCGTGGTTTGTCGAGCTCTGCTTCAGAAGCTTAGACCCTCTGGCGAGGATGGAACTGGCAAAGCGCGACGATTAGAGCAGTGGGTGACTAATGATGCTGAGTCCATCATTCGCTTTTCGGAGGCTGGCTTTGCCCCACGCGACTTTTTTCCCCTCCGGATGAGGATCCGCAAATACTTGACATGTCTTCTAGAGCGACACGTTGATGAACTCAAGATCCAGGTCCCGCTCTCAACCTATGCGTACTGCATTGCGGACCCATATAAAGTTCTGGGGCCGGATGAGGTTCACTTTGGCTTCTCTAATAACTGGCGGGATCCACAGGGCCAGTTTGAAGACAACCTACTCGATGGGGTAGATGTTCTCGTGGGCCGACTTCCAGCCCATTTACCGTCTGATATTCAACGGCGCAGAGCCGTGTGGAAGTCTGAACTACGTCATTTTAAAGATGTGATTGTCTTTCCCACCACAGGGACTTTTCCTCTAGCAGGTATGCTATCCGGAGGAGATTACGATGGTGATACGCCGTGGATCTGCTGGGATCCAATGATTGTCGAGAGGTTCCAAAATTCTCCAATGCCCTCACATGAATATCCCGCAGAGCATTACGGGCTCACGAAACACTCCGTTCCGATGGCCTCGCTGAAGTCGACGGAAGACTTTTTGGAAAGTGCGTTTGATTTCAACCTCAACCTTTCAAACCTGGGTCGATGTACCATCGAACATTTGAAACTGGCATACGATGAGTCAGTTGACTCTCCGAAAGCAAAAGAGCTAGCCTGTCTTCTGGGTCATCTTGTGGATGGCCGGAAAGGCGGAGTTCATCTTTCAGAGGAAGCCTGGAAAGAATACCGCAAAACCATTAGCCCTCAGCAGCGTGCGCTTCCCGCATATCGGAACCCGGAGCGCAGGTCCAATCCGTCGAACATTGTAGACTACGTCAAGTTGAACGTCGCACAGTCGGAGCTTCGCAGAATTCTCTCAGGTCTCAACGATGCGTTCCCCGAGAACGATATCCAAAACCAGCTCGATGATGACCTCATTCGTCCGTGGACCAAAGCCGAGGAAGCATCGAAGAGCAACCCTGAGCATAGTCAAGAGTTAAAAGACGCCCTTGGTGAAGTTAAGAGGTCGATAGACGAACTATACAAGCAGTGGAACCAAGGACACTCTGCTTCTACCGGCGACGAGTTCTCTGCCATATCACGTCAAGCTGCCGAGAGTGCAGCTGCACTTGCTCCTCCCAACGTGGGCAAACACCCGCTTATCCACACTTGGCAAAACAGCCGCAATGAGTGGCAACGGTTGGTAGCTTCGTATGCTTACCGTCGATATCCAAATTCCCGGTTTATTCTTCATGCCTTTGGCGAGACATTGTGCGAAATCAAGGCGTCTGTCTCGCCATCCCGCCTTGTCACTAATGAGGTGGTCGCCTGCTACCGAGTGAATCAGAAAATGGTGGCGCATCTCACGGCCAATGAATTGCCT